AGAGGACCCTTTGTGCCCTGTTTTTTTCCCCTCGGAGCAGAGTCGTGTTCCCTGCAGCAGAGCCACGGGAAGGCTGATTTGTTCCCTGGCTGGAGCTGACAGGAGCTGGTGATGTTGTTATGAGTCGGCTCCAGCTTCTGCGTTTCAATCAGGCACACAGCGGGACAGCCCATCTGCTGCCGCAAAGCCTCCCAGCCGCTACAAAACTGGACCTGAATGGAAACGAGCGTTCTTTCAGCATCCTAGAACACAATGTGTAAACGTAACAACTGTAACCTTGCACTTATTGTGTCGAGCTGTTTAGTTTTACTTTAGTTGCTGACAGGACTAGTAAAGGGATGGTTCAATACAAACCAGTATGACTTTTTCTTCTGTAGAACACAAATGAAGATATTTTGAAAAATGTCTTTTGTTTTTCAAGCATAGTTCAAGCTTTTTAGTTTTTCATCGATATTATTTTATTGCCGGCTTAATGTGTTAATAGCAAAAACTGTTTGGTCCCAAAATATCTTCATTCATGTTCTGCAAAAGAAATGATGACAGAATTTTCATACCCCTTTCATATCTTTTTCTGAGTCAATTCGTTCATTTCGTTCGTTGAATGAACCAAATGACTCAAAAAAATATTCGTTCATTTTGATGAACGAGTTCGAACAGGAGAGTCACGAACGTGCATCACAGAACAGAGCAAGGCGAGCATTTGAGCTTATAAAACTTAAACGTTGTTATTTTTTTTTTTAATAAGTGATCGTTTCGCTTGATAAGACCATTATTCATCGTTTGGAATCGTTTAAAGCCCTTTGAACAGTTTGCACTGAAACTGTCTTTTGGACCGTTTGGTTCCCATGATTAACCCTCAAACATATTCACTTTATAGCCCTTAATCCTGTAATTGTGGACAAATGTGGGCACAGAGGACTCAGGTGTGATCCTAATTTTTATTTATTATAAATGTTATAGCACTGTCTTCTATAAAGTTTTGTCTATCCATTTATGGAGTTTTTTTTATTTTGGGGGAATTTTTTGAATTTATTTACTTAAAAAAGTACCATATTTTCTATGTAAATTAAGCTTATTTTTCAACGCATTCTCACCCCAAGGCGTCACCTTTGACCATGCTTCAATATTTGACGTTTTAGGCGCCCCTTAGCGTCACTTACATGACGTGATCCTACGGCGTCATCTAACTGACGCTAAAGGAAAGCGTCAGTTAGAGGACGCGGTTAGGTTTAGGTGTGGGGTGGGGGTAGGGTACACGCAATCCTAGGGCGTCATCTAACTGACGCTAAAGGGCGCCTAAAGCGTCAGATATTGAAGCATGTCCAAATGCTTCCCAAGGCGTCAGTTAAGTGACGCCTTGGGGGTGAGAATGGGCTGTATTTTTATGGGTTTTTTTTTTTTTAATTTAACTACATTAAAATATCATTCCAATAAGTTCTTAGAGCTAAAACCTAAAGATGAAGTGACTTTGCAGTCACCTGGTGTCTTATTTTGGCTTATTTTAGAATGCTGTAAATTACAGTTTTTTCCATTTATTTCTATGGGTGCCCATTTTGGCCCAAATACAATATTAAGGAATTTTTTTTCACCCACTTAGCATTATAGAATTGAGTCAAAAAAAATTTTTTTTGTGTGTTTAGGAGGCAAACTTAGGAAAAGTAGCCAAGTTCTGTACCGCTCAGATCAAGGGAAGTATTTTTTTAAAAATAAATCAAAACTATTTTGCCTACATTTGTCCAGAATACGGTTTTAGGGTTAAAGTGCATTAAATGGAGAAAAATCATGGAATGTTTTCATCGAAAACCTTAATTTCTTTTCGACTGAAGAAAGAAAGACATGGATATCTTGGATGACATGGGGTTGAGTAAATTATCAGCAAAAGTTTTTTTAAAGGAGCAATGTGTGACTTTTAGCGACATCTAGTGGTTCGGTTGCGAGTTTGCACCAGGTTTGCACTAAGGGCTCAGCCCACTGCTCACCCCTCCCTTTCGAAGAAGCTACGGTTGCTAAAACGGGACAAACATCTCGTCGGCTGAGACAGCAGAGAATAGCCAGAGTAAGCCAAGAGTGTGTAACATTGTCACTGTTTCTGTACCACAGTCCATTATAAACCACATCATGAATACTGTCTGTTTACAAAGCCATAGTCAGGTGAGGATCAAGGGTTTTAATATATAATTTAATAAAACAATAATCAGCTGATTGTCTCACAAACGTAACCAGCAGCACATTTCTCCTCACATACTGTAGCAAACCCATAATACAGCGAGGGAGCAGCTATATATTTTTTCTAACAGGGTAGTAATAGTTTAGCTGGCTAATATGAGCTGTTACTGTGGCTGAGCTGGGACGCGTCTGCATGAGTCCAAAGGTCGGAACTGCGCGCGCTGTTACAATCATGTCATCTCCGCATCCCATAGATACTATTTACTACACACAATAGGCTTTTTTCCTCTGATTTTTTAAATTCTTCGCGATCGACTTTAGTGATAAAAGACTTTAGTAAAAGTCTCTATCGACGGGTTAGTGATTCCTGTAACGTACTGTTTTACGGTCAATGACATGAATACTAATCATCAGCTGTCTCACGAACGTAACAGCACATCTATCCCCAACATAACAAACCCATAACACAGCGAGGGAGAACTAAGTTACATGAAACAATCCCAACTACATATATTACACCACTCACAAGGGAAAAGTCACTACTCACGGAGTGTAAGGCTAGCTTCCAGCTTTCCGCTACTTCTCTTTCAAGGTAGTGATGAAACGCGTTCTGTAGCGCTGTTTGTTCGCGTTCGGCTACGGTAGGAATATGACGTCACAACATGGCGACCTTCATAGAAGGGGATTCCCTCGGTTATGGAGCTATTAATGTCTCATTCTAAGGTAATAAAAACATTACGGTTAATTAAGTAAGTTCTTTATACACCACTGAAAACATAGTTATGGATGTCATATTGCATTTCTGTTAATAGATACTCAACTTTGTTACACATTGCACCTTTAAAAGTCAACTACTCCTTTAAAGCAACTCACTGAGGAGGGAATTCAAAGGCTGCACCAAAATCTTGTGCTGAATTTTACGTAGTTGGACGCTCCATTCGGCTGAACGTCCTCTATGAACAGAGGCGCCATTTGCAATTCGGAGGCCAATTTCAAAGAAACAGTTGATGATATTTGGGAAAACAGCACACTTATCCTAAGTGAACTCAGGACATTTTTGCCCCATGCATCTTAAACTTGGGGGCATCATTTTGGTGGGATTTTTGCCCCTAGCCCCAGCTCATTTCCACGATGGCAGGGGGCAGGGCTCTTTTTCGAGTGCAAGCTGAGGCCCATTCTGTTGCGAGGCCCGTTTCAAGTGAGACGGGTGAAGCATAGCAAAGGCCAGTACCGTCTATGACATCACACTCCTCTCTGTTTCAGTACATCTCTGTGGAGGAGACGGATGTGCCCCTCCTCTTTCCGCTCTGCTTAGGAACTGGTGGGAAATGTATAATGAATACTAATGAATCCCCACCTCCCTCGACAGGTGTCTTACCTCCACCCCTCTCACTACTAACATCCTGTCCTCTCCTCTCTCTCTCCCCTTCCCTGACAGAGAGGAGTGAGCCGCTGACATGTGATGTGAATTTAACACACACAAGGCTCAGTGGAAACATCCTCTCCACCCTGAGCTCCTTCATTAGAGCTGGTTCTTTAACAGACAGGACGAGTATAATCAGGAAAGTCACTGTGTTCCAGATTTCATACTTCCAATACATGATCCAGAAACACAGTTAAAGAGTGAATTAACCGCATCTACCATAAAAGCCATACAAGTATGTATTATTATACACTCAGTCATAAATATACAAATACACACACACAAATATATTAGCCTACGCAAACAGACTTGTTAGATGCGATTAATCGATTTTACAGCCTTGAATATTATCATATCATATAGTAATATAATTTATATTAGTAACATTAAAATAAATCCATTTAACCCATGGTTAATCACTCGTTAACTGTGTTTCTGGATCATTTATTGGATTCAGTTATAATGTAATGAAAAATAAGATTAATTTTCATTTCTTTAATTTGAAAAGTAATCAGTCATTATGATTACTTGTAAAGTAATCAATATGATAATTTATTTTATACTTATTTTACTTTTAAAATGTATGACTTTTTTGCATTTACATTAAAAAGAGAATCTCAGATGAAGAGGATATTTAATATAAAACATAATTATTTAATGCTTATGCTTTTGGTGTTATGTATTGGTGAGATTTCTCAGAGCTTGCTGATGTTAAGAAAAACACTTTTATAACAGATTTATATATCAAACATGGTGTCAACACTTGATTTAAAATAAATTTAAATTACCTTTAACAGCAGGTCCAAGTCTAATTGTTTATCAACTGGTATATATAATTGTATAATGATCAAATTAAAATGTCTTTAGTATTTATTGTGTGAAGCTTGACTGAGCAAGTTAATATGCTAGTAGTAACACTTCGTTTGGATACGGTCTTCCTGGCTGGCAGAGAAGGTAACGGCCTGACATGTGTTTTAATTAAGTTTCTCACTTCAGTGCCCAGATATTTGTGGATGTCAACGCAGCGGTCCATGAAGACAAAATCCGATATGCCGAACACTTCTCCTACAGCAGATAATTAATTCCAAATCTGAGTAACTGCTTTTTGATTTGTTTGTTATGTTCTGCATAAAAGGTCAGAGATTTTGTTTCCCATCAGTTCGCCTTGTAAGTTACAGCAACATTGAGACTCGACGTACAAACAGCACTTACATCCTGTGTAGAGGGTAGAAACCTGTCTTGTTTTGTCGACTCTGTTCCTCTGGAGGAATCAAACGAAGTTGCAAATGAAGACATTCCACATATCTGCCGTGAAATATTGTGACGCAAGATTATTAAAAACAACATTATACGCTGCTGCCACCTGGCGGCTACTTTCCAAACTGATACAAAAATACTCCTGGACATTTTGTGATTGCGTTAAGGTGCGAGCTTTATTTCATGTCGTTTTTGCTTACAACAATGCATTTGAAAGACAAAAAAGTCACAACATTCATTCAGTCATCCCTATTAAATACTAGAGAACATTAATTAAATAATAAGCGAAAAGTATCACATTCTACACTGAACATAGGCTGCTTTATAAATTGTGTTTTTTACATATCAGCTATATAAAATTATATAGAAATAGTAACTTGTGGAACATGAAGCTACAATGGCAGGTCATCAGAGGTTCCTAGAAATGAACAGAAAAGACAAATATTTAGGATTTACTGTACTTTGTTAAATTGTTAGTACAATAATTGCTAGTGCAAAGAAACGCAACAAGTGAAGCATTGAATTGGAAGTGACATTTTGAAGTAGAAAGAATGAAATGGTATTTTCTTGTGAAACATATACTTTAATAATCTTTGACAAATCTTTTTTTGTGTGTGTGTATAGACATACGGACTGCCATTCATTTTCTCACCTCAGACCCTTTACAGCACATACAGTTCCATAAGATACTCCTTGGGCACGATTCCGATGACCCCTTTTATCTCCCCCACCCACCAACCGAAGATGTCGTACTCCTGTGGGGAAAAAAACAACAGAAAAACCGATAACCGACGTTCATTAAACTCACTCACCGTTGAGGCCAATCAGAGCAGTGACACAATCAGCAAGGTCAAATCTCATAGGTCAACGCCCAGGGGAATGAAAACTGTCAATATATATAGTTCATATTACCCGTTCATCTTCGGGTTTTGCCTCATTTTCTTCTCACACTGTCTCTATCCGTACATCCCCACCCCCTTTTCCCGTACCCCTCCATTCTGTCTGTCTTTCCAAGGCCAATTCAAGGACACAAGGCCCACAGGACCTATAAAGATTACACAAGAGAATGTGAACGGGCGATATATTTCTTATGAAGCACAGCAGATCTGTGAGCCTGAGGACAGAGTCCTTTTCTTTGCATACAGAGACAGATCAGCTCTTCTCCGGCTCATGGAAAAGAGAACCATAAAGATAAGAACCAGATAAGATCTGTCTCTCTTTCTTCATTCCATAATCACAAACAGATCCCACGGTGACATTCACTTCAAAGCTACTAACCCCTGTGTTTTTTTCCTGCCTCTGTTTCTCACAGATGCCTTCTAAACTCTGGGGTTATACTGAGGCGGATCTGTCAGGCCACATCGCGATTTCTTTCAAAGAGGAGAACGTTGGGAGGCAGTGAGAGGAGACTGGACTGAAATGGACGTTAGATGCACTGAAAGTGTGTCTGATCTCCACATAAAACTCCAGGAAACTCCATTTCCCAGCAGACCTTTGGATGAACCGGACAAACTGGGGTTCATGGACCCCCACTGAACTGCAAGGGTTTTTAAGGCAGTTAAAGTTATCCTGCATATGATATTGATGATTGATATACAAACACAGAAATATTGAGATTAATTGCAATTATGTTTATTTTTTGACTAGAAGTTCAGTTAACAGTAAGAGGGAAAAAAATATAATTATAAAATCAAATAAAAAATATTCTCAGATATGCTGTAATCTTTATAAAAACTAACTATATTCCAGAAGATATTTAAACATTCTTCACGACAATAAAAAAGCCAATTACCATTGCATATTGTTTGCGGTCAGAAAATGTTTTTGAAAGAATAAGTCTTTTATTCTCATCAAGGCTGCATTTATCTGATAAAAATACAGTAAAAACAATAATATTGTGAAATATTATTGCAATTGTAAATGTTTTTTTTATATATATATATATATAATTTATACTGGTGTTGGTAAAGCTGAATTTTCAGCATCATTGCAGTCTTCAGTGTCACATGATCCTTCAGAAAATCATTCTAATATGATGGTTTGGTGCTCAACAAACATTTATTATTATTATCAATGCTGAAAACAGCTGTGCTGCTTAATACTATGATAATTTTTTTTTTCAGAATTCTTTGATGAATATAAAGTTCAAAAGAACAGTGTTTATTTGAATTAGATATATTTTGTAACATTCATGTCTTTACTGTATTCACTTTTGATTAATTGAATGCATCCTTACTGAAAAAAAAGTTTTAATTTCTTAAAAATAAAATATCACTCACCCAATACTTTTTGGACGGTATTGTAATTTCAGATTATTTTGTTAATTTTCTTACAAATCACAATTAATGTTTCTCACACAATATAAACAGATGTATATGCTTTGAAATATATAGTTGCCTTTATATTTTAGGAAGAGGGGGGTCCTATAAAAAGCATTAAAGGGATAGTTCACTTTGAAATTAATTTTATGCTTTAGCTTAACTCGGGCATCCAAGACGTAGGTGTCTTTGTTTCCACAGTATTTTCAATTTTGATATTTTTAGGTCAAACCGTTCTTGTCTGTCAGTCATATAATGGAGGTATATGGGGTCCAACTCAAAGAGCATGCACAGAGAAGTCCAAATTAAACACGATTTAATGATTCGTAAATGTAAGCTGATGACCTCAGACACGAAACGAGCGGTTTGTGTGAGAAAATTTACAGTATTTATATCGTTTTTACTTCTTGTAATCACAGCCCCGGAAGTGATCTCTCGTGCGTATAGACCATTTCACAAGATGTAAACAACACTGGTCCAGAAGCACTTCCTGTTCCAGTTTTTTTAACACTACATAAAAGCTGGGATAAAATACAACCAACAGAACATTTAAAACTGAATCAAAAAGTTAAACAAACATCTTTAAGATGTTTTCTTTACATGTGAAATAAAGAAAACAGTTACAAACTGAAACAGGAAGTGCTTCTGGACCAGTGTTGTTTACATCTTGTGAAATGGTCTATACGTCACTCATTGTTTACACAGACATTTCAGAAGTGTTACCTTTCACTGTGAAGATCTAAATATATTTAGATATACAGGAAATTGCAATGGAAGACGATTTCGATATATCAACAGACAATGTTGATTTTTTTTTTTTTTGCAACCACGCTAGAGATCACTTCTGGCACTTTCCGACGCTTGCGCAGACCAAAGCGCCTGTGCCTTCAGATCACTTGGACATGGCTGTGGTTACAAGAGGTAAAAATTAAATGAATACTGTTCGTTTTCTAACACAAACCGCTCGTTTCGTGTCTTAGACCATCAATGTGTACTTACATTTACGAGTCATTAAATCATGTTTAATTAGGACTTCTCTGTGCATGCTCTTTGATGTGGACCCCATATACCTCCATTATATGACAAACAGACAAGAACGGTTTGACCGAAAATATCAAAATTGAAAAAAACTGTGGAAACAAAGACACCTACATCTTGAATGCCCTTGAGGTAAGCTAAAACATATCAAAAATTAATTTCAAAGTGAACTATCCCTTTATTTATATTGGCATTAAAAAAAAGAAAATCCCAGGGTTACTCGACTATCTTGCAAAGACAGAACACAGGAACACATTTTGTCAAAACGTAGTTATGACTGAATAGGATCTCTTAAACTATGATCTGTCCTGAGACAGATGAGTTTGGCACGGGAAAGATGTTCAGATCCCTTTTAGTTTTAATGTAGTTACTGTGCTTTGCTTCTATATAGAGAGGCCCCAGGCTGCGAATCTGCAACCTCATCTGTGTTTCTGCAAAGGTTCCCACATAAACACGGTCTCTCGTTTGATGCTCCTGAAAAGAACGGGTCCGGCTACAGTGAAACCCTGAAACATCTCAATCCCGCATACTCTTACTGACAGTTAAGGCCCTTTCTCTCTCTGACATTCAAGTCTTTGATCTCCCCAAAGCTGACAAGACACTCACTGCTCATCTACCTTCATCCTTCACCCCACTATCGGAGAAAAAAGCCTCTCTCTGTACGGCTCGGAAAGAGCAATGAGGTTTGAATCATACCCCATCTGAAGTTAAATATGAAGTTTGTGGGCCCCTACTTGACCCCGGCAGCCTAAGTGATTCCTGCTGTATAAAGTATAGTGCTCAGCTCCGGCCAGCAAACCTCTTACTGCCTGCGTCCACGTAACTGTCTATAAAACACAGGTCTGGTTATGCAGCTGCTGACAGCTGCCGCAGACACACACACTGTAATGGAGAGCGCCGACTGTCCTCAATCTGCACCATCCTCCTCGCAAGACTAAAAAGCAATGGAAAAACTTGCTGAAAGACCATAGGGTTCAATAAATCTTCCTTTAACTATCTGTAAAGCTTAAGATGTGTAGAGTATAACTTAAAATATATTACATTTATACATTCGAAATAAGTCAGGACTGTAGATCAAGTTGTTTTTAAACTGCTTGTTTTCAGACTTTTCTATCAACAGAACGTTGGTGTGTTAAAATATTTAATAAGAATTATTACCTCTGATTAATTCAGAGTTACTATTTTGTAATATATTATCATTAATTTAAAAACTTTACAGTCATCCAGGGGCCCCTTGGTAGTTTGATGGGCCTCCATAACCGATATGTTCTATACAAATACATCTGAACGATTCATAATGATTTGTAATGAAGTAATTTTTTGATAATGTAAATTTAATGATAATCTTTAATTATCTTTAATGATATTCATTCATTCAAATAATTTAAATACCTCATTTTAATCAATGATATAAAAAACATTTTAACTAGGGCTGTCAAACGATTAATCACGATTAATTGCATCCAAAATAAAAGTTTGTGTTTACATAATATATGTGGGTGCACTTTATATATATATATATATATATATATACATACAAAATAATTATACACAAATACACACATATGCATGTATATCTAAGAAAAAAATATTATTTATATAGAAAATATTGATATTTATATATAATATAAATTATATAAATCTATAAACAGTATATACATGAAAATATTTCTTAAATATATACAAGCATGTGTGTGTATTTATATAAAATAATTATACACAGTGCACCCACATATATTATGTAAACACAAACTTTTATTTTGGATGTGATTAATCGCGATTAATCGTTTGACAGCCCTAATTTTAACATTGCAATACATTTTAACAAAACAATGCATTTCATGTTTTTTTAAATCACACATTTTAATAAATACAATTTTCATATTTTTTATTAATTAATTAAATGGTTTTTTTATATCACACCTTTTAATAAAAAAAATATATGTAAATATAAATACGTACAGCATATGTATTTACACACACACACACACACACGCATATATACACACACACACACAAATATCACACAATTTTAGGCTATTTGTGTTAAAATGTAGGCTATAGCATTCTTTATATTTTAAAAATAAGTGTGTTTTTTTTGTGGTTTTTTTTTTTTGCAAAAGTGACATTCAGGAGTCTGTGGCATTAAGTCATTTGAAAACTCCTGCTGTACATAATTGCAGTTACGCAAGTAGAGATAAAAGTGCAATGTGTTAAGGAGCACGATTGACACACCTCATCCCACACAGGCTGCCAGATACAGGGCAGTTGTCCGGGCTGTGTGAAACGAGACAGGAAGTGCACATGTGAAAGCTTCCTGTAGCCGTCCTTTGATATAGACACACCTCACTGACAGAGCAGCGTCTGGTGCCGTGTGTGTGCGAATATGTGCGCACGCAGGAGGCTCAGATTAGAAGGCGAGTGTGACAAATAAGTCTGCAACAGGAAAGCAATGCAGACCTCACACTCCGCCAACATGGCCACACACACGGCGCCCGCCATGTAAGGTCACAATATAGACTTCAGAATATAGCTACATTACTGTTTAGCAGACCAAACGAGTACCCTAAAGGTCATTTACATATAATTTACTACAAGATGAATAATTAAAATCCTGCATTATTAAAATAAAGCTATTATGCCATATTCAGCTGAAATGATGCGGGTCTTTGAGGTTTACAATGCTGCTGGACCCCAGACGGACCATGTGACGCACTATTTTGACCAAGCATCATTTACAGCACACACTGGCCTGCTTTGAAAAGAAGAGAGCTTGGTGTGTGTGATTTAGGGCCCGACACCTCCCCCTGGTCTGATGGTCAATACCCTTTCAGAGCCACTGAGGGTCTGGACAGGGGGGTAAATGGGGGGGGGGTGTTAGACTTGCAGCTGCTGCATGGCCAAGGGGAAGGAGGTAGGCCACTAATAGCCCCACTGGCCCGTTCCCCAGACTGCTCTGAATGGCCTGTGAGCCACAGCTGGACACTAAACCCACACCAGCTTTACGGTCATCCGCAACCATGGCTGAAGGAAGGGGGGAAGGGGCTACGCTACAAAAGACAGCCTGCAATATTCTCGGTGAACCAAAGCCGTGCAGTACCCATAAAATAGCAGCAATACAACACACAGCATCACTGGACTGTGGATCTTTCCTAACATATTTTGGCAATGTGCTGGGTTTATGCTCATCTTTTTTATGAAGTGCAATCCATTTCAAGTATATTTCATATATATGCAATGCTTTTTACAATTTCAATCTCACCCCAAACAAACCTGAAAGTGTAACAATCAATAAAATTAGGACATAAATTAAAAATAATAGTAAGAATTACATATAATAATATATAAAATGATTAAATATAAAAAAAGTCACTCCACTGTTGAACATCATGATCAATTGCTCAAACCTGAAGCCTAAAAAGCAAATCAACACAATTACTCTTCCAAAAGGCAAGTTTCGTTTTGTTGATGAAGCGTACGTCCTTACTAACTCTAGGCACAAGATGGCAGACTTGCTCTGAAAAACCCAGTCACCCCTGGATCCCATTCAGACCATATTCTGTCATTTTCTGACAGCCTGCTGACTTTTAACAGAATGAGATAATTTCCCCATTGGCATGCTTTATATATCCATTACAAATTATGGATTTTTAGCCACTGGTGAAATTGAATGTCATCTCTATTTCTCCTGAAGATACATTATCTTGCTACTGCACATTCCTGTGTCTCTAGTAAAATGAATTTAAATAAATTGGGTAGAATTATGGAAAGCTGCATTCAGCAGTTCTTTCTGTCAGCTTCTTTCCCGTGTAATCACTTCTGGAGACCTAAACTTTCACCATTACTTAATGGATCGCACTAGATGACATCATATAGGCTTCAGAACACGTGTTCATATCAGCCCTTAAAAAAAAATCTTAGATGAAGCCATCAGGCCGCTTGAAAATGTCATGTTTGCTGCAGAGAGAAATCAGAGATGATTTTACTCTGAATCCTCTATTTACCAATTATTTAAAAAAACAAATTACATTAACGTATAAAACCCTTTGTTCTAGTCGGTGGCAGACAACAGCATATGTGGTGGTGACAGTATAATATATATATATATATATATATATATAATAAGATTATATTGTATAATTATATTCGGTGTAGAGCACTATCCCAAGTCTACAGCCCTCGACTTCTATCACTGTCAGTTCCAATGAAGAACACAAAAATGCTAAACACAATCAAATACTGTTGATTTAAAAAGTATAGTCAGTGTAGGAGCATTTAAAAATCGCTCAGTCTTGATGCAATAAATATTCCTCTGACCCATATAACAAGCTCGTGTGCCAACAAGAAGCCGAGCCCCATACAGTTTACATCCTAGAATCAAAGTTACACTTATTTCTTTGTCCCATCTATTAATTTATACAAAAATACATTAAATGTAATTCACACATAGACTGACACTTTTCTATAGTGAGAATTTTTAATTAATGTATTAAAAATTCATTTTGAAAATATCAGGATGATAAAACTGTCCCGATATCCCAATGGAAAAAAAAAGAATGATATTCTTAAAAAGAAAACCTAATTAATGGGACAGTTCGTTATTCAAAATCTATCAAACCTCCAGAACCTTCTGTCCCAAACATTCTTCTGTGGATAAAAGATTTTTTTTGGTCTGTCCAGTGGACGTCTAAGGTCAACACAGGTTTGGAGCAACATGAGGGTGAACTAGTTTATGCAGTTTGGCTTTATTTAAAACAATTTAACAAAATCATAAATCAATAAATAAATACTGCTTAATATTTTTTAAAACTTGTGTCAACAAAATCAAAGATATGTGGTGCAAACAACAAACAGGAAATGATATCAGAGGAGACTCATGCAGATCTAAATGACTGTGTGTCAAGGTCAGTCTTTTAAATAACAAATAGTTTGACTTTTTTATGACAAGGCATGGTTAGTTCAAGTTGTAAAATGTCATGTCATGTGGTGCAACTACTCAAATATATATATATATATAAATATGAGATACACATACACACACACACACACACACACACACATATATATATATATATATACCGTATATATACTGTATACACATGTATATATATACATGATATTTTTAGTCATTAAATTAGTCATTAAACATGGTATTTAATAACTTGAAAATGGTATTAAAGTTTTCCAAAACCATATGAAACCATCAAGAATACAAAGAATATATTTAGAATAATTTGGCCTAATAATGTGGTTAGATCATGGACACTTATAGTGCATCACTGTCCCAAAAAGGTCTTCAGGACACAGATGATATTAAAACACCACCAATACCTCAAAACCCCTCTTTCTGAAATAAGATCGCAAGAACACGACTCTAATTTAAGATTTCCATTTGCTACTCTAAAGGGCAACAGTGCTAAGTAGACAAAATGCAAGATAGCGAGTTTGTTTCTGGGAACGGATCAGCCCGATCTGTTTTAAGTAGCCCTGAGAGGTATTGAGCTAATTCTGTTAGCCAGGTACAAACCCCACAGGCAGAATCCAGATCTGCACAGCCTGCCTATGCATCGGAGCTGACAGGTAGGGGAAGTTTTTAACCAAACTCACTTCTACACCACACCTGGTACGAATAGAGAGGTGGATTCAGCGTTTCCGGAGAACACAGACTACCATTACAGCCATAAATAGTGACAGGCTGAGATGTGTATGCTAAAGGTCTGCATACGCTTGCCCTTACAGAACATGGCGTTGAGCAGTCTACCATCACCGAAATACCCCTACACACACACACAAACGCACGAGCTCCGAATGGGCAGACATGAAAAGGGGTGACAGAATACCACTGGCTGCCAGACTGCCCAGCTCAGGGCCAAGAGCACTAAAACGGTTTCCGTAGTGACAGGACTAATCCCATCACCGTGCACAGAGAGAGGGTGTATTTAGCTTAGAAACCCCACTGCCGAGCACACGAGACACCGAAACGATCCTTTTACATCTGACTCATATGTGTTAACCAGATGTCACAGCAATTTTTTTTCAACATTTTTTTTTGTTGCAAATTCATGTTTTCCTGCTGACGTCTAACAGGGCAGGGTAATAAACATTTAAACATTATTTCTGTCCTCGATCACGTGGGTCCCGTCTAACCTTGCTGAGGATGTAGACTGTGTCTCCTCTTTTGAAGGACAGCTCATCGGGGTGTTCGCCAGCACAATCCCACAAGCCCTGGAAGAAGTTTTCATAGTCTGTGCTCTTGTTCACTGCTGCAGGGGCTGGAAAAATAGAAGATTAAATCAATTATTGAATTAATGAAGGAAGAATAGAGATCATTTGTGATGGCATTTCAAAACCCTATACACTCTCAACCTATGCATCACAAAATGTTTATGATGAGCTGTAAAAATGGTGATTGTGGGGTTTGTGGGTTTGGTCTCTGAACACAGAGATCTTATTGTCCATGCATGTACACTTTTCAAAGGTTCACTAATTTGGGGTTAGTAAGATGCTTTTGAATAAATGTTGAAAGTCTCACTAAAAATGCCTTTATTTGACCAAAATACAGTAAAAACTGTAATATTGTGAAATATTATTACTATTTAAAATAACTGTTTTCTGTTTTAACTTCAAGATATTTTAAAAGGTAGCTTATTCCTGTGATGGCAAAGCTGAATTTTACAGAAATCATTCTAATATGCTTATTTGGTGCTCAAGTAACATTTCTTATTATTATCAATGTTGAAAACATCATTGCTGCTTCATTTTGTGGAAACCATGATGCATATTTTTAAGGATTCTTTAAAGTGATGACCTAAAAAAACGAAAATTTTGTCAACATTTCCCAGACAACAACTTGAAGGGAGCCATTTACTTTCATAGTATGAAAAAAAAAATACTGTGGAAGTCAATGGGGTCCATCAACTGTCTAGTTACCAACATTCTTCAAAATATCTTCTTTTGTGTTCAACAGAAACTCATACAGGTTTGAAACAACTTGAGGGTGAGTAAATGGTGACAAAATTCTCTTTTTGGGTGAATTATCCTACGCTATCTCACGAGTCGACCAATTCGTACGAATTCGTATGAGTGATTAAAAAGTGGCTAATTCGTATTAATTCATGCGACCTCACTCGTACGAATTCGTACGATTTGTCCAAACCCATGTGATGGGTAGGTTTAGGGGCGGGGTCAGGGGTAGGTCATTCGTACGAAATCATACGAATTGGCCAATTCGTAAAATATGTACGATTTAGCAAAAACGTACTAATTCGTACGAGTGAGGTTGTACGAATTGTTACGAATTAGCCACCTCATAAAATTCGTACGAATTCTCGTGAGATCAGGTTGGAATTATCCCTTTAATGAAAAAGGTTAAAAAACAATAACATTTAGTTGAAATATTTTGTAACATTATGCATGCCTTTACTATCACTTTTGATCAATTTAACGTGTCCTTGCAGAATAAATGTATTAATTTCCTTAAGAAAAAAAAAACTCAAACTGACCACAAACTTTTAAATGGTAGTGAAAAAAGAGTTTCTCTACACGCAATGGTGTTTGGTACATGTCAATGGATCTTCAACATGAGTTACACCAATTTTTGTTTGATCTCTTATGTAAATACTTACTTTCATATGGTACTATACACATTTAATGTATGGCTTAAAGTGTCCCTGCTATGTTTTTTTCTATCCACCAAGGGGTCCTTGGTTAAAGACCCCCAGAGTAAGGTTTTTTATGGCTCAGAAAGGTCCACTAGTAGGCAGCAGAGTGTACAACTTTCTGAGCTGTGGCTCCTGACAGATGGGATGAAACTAATAAACCCTTTAATGAAAGACCCCTCACAAGTTAACATGTAATGTAACCTTAGAAGACATATTTGTTGGAAGTTAACACACATATTTCATCCACAATGGTTTAGTTTCAAGACATTAAATAAGAGACTGTAACTTATATAAAACGATTTTGAGTGTAAGTATCAGTCGCTTATTTTCTGTCTCGAAACTAAACCATTGTGGATGAAATATGTTCAACTGGTCTTTCAGGTAGATTTGCTCTTGGGTTTACAATTACCCCCTCTTGCTCTTGGTGTAGAGCATTATTTGTTCATATTTACTAATCTATAATGTCTGCCCAAAGGCTGCACCATGAGTGGGTGTTCAAGAAAAGTGCTTTCATACAGAAAAAAACCCTAAAGGTAAATATCTTGCACCAGACTTTATAGCTGGCAGATTCCCAGCTATGCTGATTTGGCAGATTATTATAATTATTTTCTAAATATAACCATACCCACTGCTGATTTTAAGATTTTATTCAGGGCTGCGTCTTAAACAACCGAATTAGTGTTAAACTTACTGCAGTGGTCTGGTATCAGTAGTTATATAAATGCATCCACTTTTCAGGATTTTAAAACATTATGGGGAAAAAAGACGACAACAAATACTAATAAAGAAAATTCATATGATAATCTTGCTCTCCAGGATCTATGAATCCTGTTTTCCCTCCATTATGGCTCTGTCTAGTGCTCTAGCTGGCCTCCTCCCCTGAGCATCTGTCACAAGATCCTGCCTCAGCCATCGTTTCTGTCAGCAGGACTTCCTGTGCTGTGAGCCTGGAGCAGAGGGCCATAGTGGGCCACAGTGCACCAATGGAGTCAGCTTCCTGCCAGTGCCTACCAACCCCTGCCCAGTGCCCAGCACCCAGCAGGATACATGCTTCCCCCACACAGGGACAGAAAAAAACACTGAACCATTTTTAAATAAAAATTGCAAGAGTATTGTAGAGTATAGCATTTGTCTTACCAATCAGCACAAATATGTCAAACTAAATATCATTACTCTAAGAAACAATCAATAAAAATTCCAAGGCTGTTCCTGAAGGCAGTTCCTGTGGTTCAGACAACCTTCCCACTCCAATCATCAGTGTTACTTTACCATCTAACCTCCCAAGTCCATATGTACCCACAATATCCATTCCCTCTCTTTCCACTTACCATCTTTGGCTGACACTTAAAGACCTCTCTCTCTCTCCATACTAAGACTGTGTTTGTGTTTGACCCACTTTCACCTTCAGAACTGCCTTAATTCTAAGTGGCATTGATTCAACAAGGTGCTGAAAGCAGTCTTTAGAAATGTTGGCCCATATTGATAGGATAGCATCTTGCAGTTGATGGAGATTTGTGGGATGCACATCCAGGGCATGAAGCTCCCGTTCCACCACATCCCAAAGATGCTCTATTGGGTTGAGATCTGGTGACTGTGGGGGCCATTTTAGTCCAGTGAACTCATTGTGATGTTCAAGAAACCAATTTGAAATGATTCGAGCTTTGTGACATGGTGCATTATCCTGCTGGAAGTAGCCATCAGAGGATGGGTACATGGTGGCCATAAAGGGATGGAAATGGTCAGAAACAATGCTCAGGTAGGCCGTGGAATTTAAACAATGCCCAATTGGCACTAAGGGGCCTAAAGTGTGCCAAGAAAACATCCCCCACACCATTACACCACCACCACCAGCCTGCACAGTGGTAACAAGGCATGATGGATCCATGTTCTCATTCTGTTTACGCCAAATTCTGACTCTACCATCTGAATGTTTCAACAGAAATCGAGACTCATCAGACCAGGCAACATTTTTCCATTTTTCAACTGTCCAATTTTGGCGAGCTCTTGCAAATTGTAGCCTCTTTTTTCTATTTGTAGTGGAGATGAGTGGTACCCGGTGGGGTCTTCTGCTGTTGTAGCCCATCCGCCTCAAGGTTGTGTGTGTTGTGGCTTCATAAATGCTTTGCTGCATACCTCGGTTGTAACGAGTGGTTATTTCAGTCAAAGTTGCTCTTCTATCAGCTTGAATCAGTCAGCCCATTCTCCTCTGACCTCTAGGATCAACAAGGCATTTTCGCCCACAGGACTGCCACATACTGGATGTTTTTCCCTTTTTTCACACCATTCTTTGTAAACTCTCCAAATGGTTGTGTGTGAAAATCCCAGTAACTGAGCAGATTGTGAAATACTCAGACCGGCCCGTCTGGCACCAACAACCATGTCACGCTCAAAACTGCTTAAATCACCTTTCTTTCCCATTCTGACATTCAGTTTGGAGTTCAGGAGATTGTCTTGACCAGGACCACACCCCTAAATGCACTGAAGCAACTGTCATGTGATTGGCTAAAACTGAACAGGTGTATGCCTCTATAATCCTTTAGGTGAGTGTGTGTGTATATATATATATATATATATATATATATATATATATATAAAGTTGGAGAGACAAATGATAGCCACCCTGGCAGATCTGGGAATATATATTTGGTGTTATGGGACAGCATGCTGACCCAGTGGTAATTACCTGTCATAGGGGTGGAAGGTGGTAGAGGTTTGTTGGCCAGGGGTAGGGCCACTGCTTTTTTAGCAGGCTGGGGTTCATCTTCCTCTGAGAGGGGGAGAATAAATGTTCCAGTTAGAGCGAAGAGCAATATACCAAATCCATAATTTCTGTGGACATTTTCCACCACATTCATAGGGGAATCGCCATGAGATTTTTTACATTAATATTTATCTTGACTATCAACATCAAAAATCATATACCGGTAATATAATATAATATAATATAATATAATATAATATAATATAATATAATATAATATAATATAATATAATATAAATAATATAGGCCTGGTTTCACAGACAGGGCTTGGATTAAGCCTTAGTTTAATTAGAACATTTAAGTGGCTTCATAAATGTGCATTAGATAAAAGCATTAAAGGTGTGCATCTTGAGACAAAACATTAGCATTAACATATTTTAAGATATGTTAGTGCAAGTTGCTATCCATTAAAACAGCTCAAATATGCATTTATTCCAGGACTAGGCTTAATCCTCGTCTGTGAAACCAGGGGAATGATATATAATATAATATAATAATTATCAGATAAATACACAAACAAATATGAAATTTAAGTGCAAACCAGGAAGTTCTTCATAGATGTCATCATCGATAATTTCAGGCATGGTTGATTGGGTTTGGGATACAGATAAGCAGTCATCATACTCTTCTTCATCTTCCGGAATGATTCCACCCATGTCTGAGTGTGAAAACCAATATACAAGACATTATGCATTTGTGCAAAAAAAAGGACACCTGCAAGAACAAGTTTGATTGAGGGTGTTTTTATGATGCAGACTCCTACCTTTAATCAAAAAGTCAATGTGCTCCACCCACTCTTTAGCTTCTTTCTCAGACGCAGCACAGAACTGTAGCAAAAATATGTTTTACGAGATAACTATCTGATGATAAGAATAAACACTGCATGTTTTACATGAAATGAGAGGTGACCAACCTGATACACACGCTTGTCTGGAGCTGAGATCTCAAAGCAGCAATCTCGCTTTGCATCTTTCCGCAGGGTGTTGTTCAGTCTGACAGTGTATCCGACAATATTAAACCCTCCCTTCTGCTGTTTATCTAGTGAGCATTAGCGCAGATTATTGAATGATACGATTTAAGAAAAGAGAAATTGAATTCAGGGGTGCATTTAATTGGTGACAACCAGTGTTGGGTGTAATAATGCATTACAAGTTATGGGAGTTGCATAATCAGATTACTTTTTTTCAAGTAACTAGTAAATTAATGCATTTATTTTAAATTTACAACAAAATGGGAACTTAATGCGCCTCAAAATATAGTTACGTTTTCAAATAAGTAATGCAAGTTCCCATTTATTGACTGACACCTCTCCAGTCCCCATGTTGTGAGCACAGTATAAACCTGATGGTTATTGTAGTATTGTAGCAGATCTCACTTGCACAAATCGGTATGTTAAATTACAAAAATATACATTATGCATTTAATCTCACTTTATTAACCAATATCTTTCCTGCTGTCCTTTGGTAATCCAATTCAACAATACTAATAAGTAAATGATTTTAGATAAAAATCTCATTTGGGTTTCATTTTTTTTATTGCTTAAATAAGGCCATGTCCCTAATGGCACCTTAAACACTCGCGGTCCTACTCTGAGTCCACACTTTCGTGACGCAACACCACTTTGACTATTTGGAAGAAGTCTGCTGCCAGTTGTAAATCTTCTAGTAGCTGTGCCAAGCCAAAACATCGTTGAAATATTTTGTCCCGTTGCTTTTATTGACTTTCTATCTATGGGCTTCTCCCATAGACAGTAAAAGGCTTCTCTCTCCACTTTATGCCTCCCTGTCCCCCCGATTGCCTCATAGACAGTAAAAGATTGCCCACGAGCTTCTCTTCCTGTCTATACGGTACTGATTGTGCGAGAGAAAGTTGCATAGTGATGACGCAATCGTCAAAAACGACAGATGTCGTCAAAAACGACATCTACGGGGCCATAACGTAAGATACAAAGTAATGGAGCGTTTTATAGATTGTCGTGTTTCTTTAGAAATAAATGATGAATGGCTGAATGTTCCTGAATGGCTGCACAGCTGACACGTTTGTTTGAGCTGCGCCCTCTACTGTACAAGAGTGAATTTGCATTTCCATCATCCTGAGGCTTACTCATTTCACTTTTGGTTTGAGAGGGGCCTTTACATTTGCCAAAACTAAAACTGCTTTTGGTAGTTAAAAAAACAACAACAAGCAAGCCCAGCCCAGGCAAGAAAAAGTAATGCAAAAGTTACAAGACACATTACTTGACATTAAAAGTACAACAATAAATCCCTTTTTACGGAGTAGCGCGGTATTGTAATGCATAACTTCTAAAAATTACTTTCCCAACACTGGTTTCAACACATCATAATAGTAGTTTTCCAACCTTTTTCACTGCCATAGTAGTAGAATATGTTGTTACTTAAGGCGCACCATCTCTTCTGCCACTCATTGCCAAAGAAGCTGTGATCTGCAAGTCAAATGGAGGTTATTTTTTTCTACGTCAACAACTGGTTTGTTATCACAGTAAGGTTACTTACCTTTTCGGCGCTTCTCCAGGTAGCCACTCTTTAAAACAGATTGAAGTTCTTGAGCTGGCACCGGAGGACACTGTTGAACACCTGATTTCAACAAACACAAACAGAAATTTATTCAATCTTTACTTCTGACTAGCAGCAAGGAATCCACACAGAGAAGCACCTGTCTTCACAACAAAATTTAATACATTTGCTAAAGGCAACCAGAAAGCTACTTCCACCCCCTTTAGGTTTAAAAATCAAAGGTCGATGTCAAGCAAGACTAAAGTTAGCAGAGATTCAAACCCGGATGGACTGGATAGATTACAGCAGTATGTGAACCAGATGCATGGTCTGTTTTCAAAGCAAACCTCCCCTCTCGTTTACACTGCCCTCCCCACTCTTGTGTACACACTACCATTGCATTGCTGAATGAGTGTGAGTGAGCAGAGCAGTGTTATGAATGACACCAGCAATTGTGGAATGTTTGCAATTATATATAAAGTGCTGTCAAGGGAGCATGACACACGCTGACTGTGAAAAGTAAACTAAACACCCTCAGAGCTAGAGCTGATTTCTGATGTCTGGTAGAACAACTGCCAAAGAAAACATAAATCATGTGTTTTTTAAAGAGCAAAACAAAGGCAAAAAACTAAAAAAGATAATAAGAAAATAAGAACACATTGGCACAGAGCATCACTTGATTTTTTTTTCTCCCTTATTGCAAAATAAAAACAGATAAATAAAATAAAACCAGCATACACACTATTGATCTAAAGTTTGGGATTTTTCAGTTAAATGAAAACATTTCTTATGCTCACCAATATATATATATATATATATATATATTCTCTTTGATGACACTTTGCAGCCATTACTCCAGTCAAGATTCTTAAAAAAAAAAAATATTTGAAAATGGTTGCATTGATAAATTAGGTTTGACACTGGCAATTGAATGTCTTTTTGTCTTTTTTAGGATTTCATGATGAATATAAAGTTTGAAGAACAGCATTTGTCGGAAATAGAAATCTTTTGTCTGATTTTGATCAGTTGATTCCTTGCTGAATGTGTCTTTAAAAATAATCCCAAACATTTGAATGGTAGTGTAACACAAAACAACTGTAAGCCATGACTTAAAACATTCAGGCCTGGTTCCACAGACAGGGCTTATATTAAGCCTTAGTTCAATTCGGACATTCAAGTAGCTTTTAAAAACATGAAAGAAAAACACACTGTGTGCATCTTAAGACAAAACAATGGCACTTTCATAATTTAGGATATGTCAGTCCAAGTTTCTTTCAGTTCAAACAGCTCAAACATGCATTTATTCTGTGACTAGGCTAAGCCTTGTCTGTGAAACCTGGGATTGATATGAACACCCATGAGCGAACTTTATCCAAGCATCAAATGCGGTTGCTAAAGGCTGCAAATAAATAGTGGCTACATGCTTTGCCTTCATCTTCAGCTATAAAACGAGCTTCCTTTTTATGGGCTGAATGTATAAATAGAGTAAAGACTTACAGCTCTCAGATAGGTTACAGAGGTGAAGCAGCACTCTCAACAAATAAAGCCTGAGAGATGTGCGTGTTCTTTTTTTCATTAGAAGAGATCTCACAAAAAAAAGACAAATGCCCTGTATTTACCCAAATAGCGGCATTATCAGTTGCATGAGCTTATAAACTTCACTGGGTTTAGTACATTTGTCCAAAATTGTCCAAAATAAATAGGCTCAAATAAGTTTTTGGTTGATCTCCAAATGCTGTTTTGATTCGTATAGGATCTGCAGTGTGCACTAAGAGGCTTCGGTCCCATCTTTGAGCTGAACAGCTGTTCTCTCTGGCAAGCACAGGGCAAAAGGACCAATAAAACACATGAGTGCACTAGATCTGTAAACCTCTCTCTACCATATATTACACACAAACTACTCCCAGCCTGTATCCTACCCTCTTGATTCTGTGAGTTTCAGAACACAATAATCAGATATGTGGCATGACTCAAAAATGATTCGGATGAATTCGATTCCCTTTAATGTAAATTCTACCAACAGCGTTCATTTAGCAGAAGCTAATAAAACAGAAGCCTGAATTGACATTGGATGTGGACGGCATTGTCTGAGCTGCAGACCATAAACCATTTGCTCAGAGACAAAAGAGAGCTAAACCCTTAACGTCTGTGCCTTTAAACCGTTCCTGAGGCTGTTGCCAGGTTACATCTGTCTTTACAGCACCTCATTCAGCTTTTGTGTAGTTCTACCACTACTAAAAAATCCTAGACAGGGCATGACAAAAGACTGTCACAATGATACTGTGTTATGACAGCTAAAGCTGCAGAAAAAAATGATAAGTGATTCATTCATAACCGGAAAGAGATAGGTTTGTTTCTTAATTTATGTGAATTCTCTACATCCAATCTGTGTGCAGAATAAATTGCCATGATTCTTTTATAATACTCACAATTACAGCATTCTTCAATGAGAGAATTCAAGGGAACAGTAGCTCAGTCACATGATGTTCCTGTCTCAACAGTTTTTGCAGATGCTCCACGCTCTCTTGTAACACTTTTAATATTGCAATAAATCCCACAATTTTACACTCACCATCATAAGCGTTTTCATCATCCCTGTCAGTCTGCTCTGAGTGAAGCGATCCTCCGTCGTTGGTGTCCGCTTCGTCAGGCTCTGGGAACTCTTCGTCTCCTATACAACAGAGTCTTCGTCAGCATTTCCAAAAAAGAGGCAGCTAGGAGGCCACATTTTCAATCCTCCACCAGAAAAAGACACATTAAATGACACTAAAATGATCTAATCGGATATTAGGCATGTTGCTTGCATAGTGCCTGGGAAGCGAAGCATGTTTGATCCAGTGATCTCCATTTGCATGCAGCATTGAGTGAGCCATGTTGTCTCAATGTTCACTAGAAACTCACTTTGCATAGATTTGGGATATTAATATGGAATATATTTTAGAACACTAGTCTGTTTGAATCACATTTTCTGATACGTTTATGTATATTAAAGAGCATATTGATGGGAAAACAAGAATTATGCACACGTTTGTGGTATAATGTTGAACATGAGCAAAAGCACTTCCTGGTCACGCTGTAATGGGAGTATAATAGTGCAGCTGTAATGTGCATGTGTTTCCTTGCCCACAATGTGCTACCCAGCCCACATTTTAACTGTGTAAATGCAAAATAGGAAATAAAAAATGCTTCAGGGAACAGTCTTTGTGTGCTAGCGTAAAACTTTTTTTAAGCACAGTTTTCATATGTTCCCATCGGGAGAGAAAAATGTCATTCAAAGATGTTTGCATGTCATGAATAAGTAAACAACAAACTCTCAAATTCACTGATATGTTAACTGCAGCACATAGTAGCCTACCCTATCAGTGGGGAAGTAGGCTACTAGTTCACTTCATCATGCTTGTCTTTTAACCCCTCCCCTAGACACACGCACATTCACAAACACACAAGCACACCAACACTTACGTTTTTCCTTAAAATCTTGTGAGTAGCTGGAACAGAGATCATTAGATTTGTTAAATAATACAACTATATCAGCATAGGGTCAGAAACATATTCAGGTCAACAGTAATTACATAAATCTGCCTCGTACCTCGTTTTCACATCTTTAATGCGCTTGATAAAGGCATCCTTTCTCTCTTTTGCTTTCTTGCTCAGATTCTCCGCCTTTAGGACATCCGTCAAAAAGTTTTCCAGATCTGGAAACAGATTAAGCGTAGCCTCTTCTTGTCATTTTGCACCTTTGAATTCCTCGTCAGAATTACGACTAACGTTATAATTTACCAAACTACTGACAATGATTAGTTTACTAGCAAGCAAAACGGTAGGCATTTTGCTCAAATAAGTTACTCGTTGGCCAGAAACAACCCAACTAAGTTACAGTAACCTGCTTTTGCAACATGGGAACGTTAGCTGGTCAACCAGCTGACAACAACAACAACATCCTGCACCACATCTAATTACGAGCGTAAACAGCTAAGTTAACGTTACCATTTTTAAAAACATCGCTAGCATCATAAACTGGACTTTCCAACAGGTATGTAACCGACTAAAAAAATAAAACGGCACAAAAAAACTGAATTTTAATCTGCGGTTGAAACATCTATTAAGTTACTTTATAATCGCGTAGACTTAACACGTTAAAACACAAAATAAATGTATCCGCGCCTGAAAAAAAAAAAGAATACTAGCTACCTAGCAGTTACTTTATTCTCAAACTACAGGGAAATATCCACAACGTCTATCGGTAGACTAAACTTCCTCTTTTCAGCCAAGTTAATGTAACTTAAACTGGGGTCAAAAAAGCTATTATAGATTAATCTGAATGCCCTCGAAAGCTAAACGTTCGCTTTATCACCTGTTGTTTTATCCAAATATTGCGATGGTACCTGAAATGAGTGTTGTTAAGTCTTCAGGGATGGACCTCATTGTGTTAAACCGCTTGACCCAGTAGCCTAAGAGAGATAGCCTTAGAAACACGGAAGTTAAGTGGACTGTGAGATACGGAAGAAGCAAATGCCTACCCTGCAGAAACCACTAGCTATTCAAATTAGACAGTATTATTAACACGTCTGTTCTAGCAGAAACATTTGGGTTCCTCAAACAGTGCACTGGCGAATCGCACGCTTCCTCGTCCACTTTTACGAGCTCGCTTTGACAGGGAAGGACATTTTACATTAGTAATTTCACTGCATTTATTGCATTATTCTTTGTATTGACATTTGTGACGTGATAATGTTTACCTTTGTTTCTTTAGCATGAGAGCGGAAAAACAGATGAGAAACATAAAGCGTTCTAATCTGAACAAAAACGTCACTATTTCCACAGCTAAGGCACAAAGGCAAGCAATACTCATTCCGTGACTTTGGGTAAGTAACTGAATTTAAACTGTAACATTGTATACATTCAGTGCTGGTGCATTAGCTAGCTAGAGGATTTTAGTGAGAGGATCTGAGGACCTTTTAGAGCTTTAGGCCTGCTGTTTGGAGTGGGCCCCACTTATCCAGAGAAGGGAGACAGGTGAAGAATGGGGGTGATGCACAGCTTTCACAGAAAAACACACATAGCTATCCATCTCCATCTCTCTCTCTCTCTTCTCTCTCTGTCTCTGTCTGTGCTCCTCTGCTGCTTCACAACAGAGATTACTGCAGAGAGCAGATCCTTGCCAGGAGACCTGCACTACTTCTCTTAGAGGATGACAAGGAGAGGAATTTGGTTTGTGAGGGGGTTTCATTTTTTAAAGGAATACAGATTTAAATGTATAATTGGAGAGGGATGGATACTGATTTTGCAGACAAGCCTAGTGATATATTTATGCACATAAACAAACAAGACTATTTATAGGAATGTCTCAAATGAAAGATTAAAAGGCTAATATACTTTATAAAAGTACTGGCAGGCATTCAACACTGACATCCTGCATGCTTGTTCACTCGGTTTGAGCGCTGCTTGAACCTCATTTGACCTGGCCACAGATCCATCTGGTGTGGAGGGGGAAAGAGAGGTGAAGTGCCCTTTGACCTTTTGAAGGACAGGGAAGCAGTTTCATATCTCATGCTCCTCGGTCGTGCTTGTTTGATCTGGACTTACCTCAGTTCACACGTCTCAGCTTCTGCCCTACAAGTGGAGGAATGTGTGTGTGAGTGTTTTAATGCAGTTAAAGGGATAGTGAAAATTGGATATTTAATTACTCACTCTCAGACTTTTGTTCATCTAAGGAACACAAATTAAGATCTTTTTGATGAAATCTGAGAAATTTCTGTCCCTCCATTGACAGTTACTACCACTTATACGCTTTAAAAAGTTCATAAAGAGATTGTAAAACTAATCCATGTGAATGATTGATTTAGTACAAATGAGTGGTTTAGTACAAATTTCCTGAAGAGACTCGATCGCTTTATATGAACAGATTGAATTTAGGCTTTTATTCACATAGAAACATTCATCAACAGAAACATCAGTTATGGTATAAAGAAGCTCAAGCATGTTCCCTTGACGCGCGAGAACCAATGAGGTTCATTCTCGTGTTATGCAGCACGTTTGAGCTTCCTCAAGAAACAATGAGGTTCATTCTCGTGTTACGCAGCACGTTTCAGCTTCCTCAAGAACCAATGAGGTTCATTCTCATGTTACGCAGCACGTTTCAGCTTCCTCAAGAACCAATGAGGTTCATTCTCGTGTTGCGCAGCACGTTTGAGTTTCTGCAAGAACCAATGAGGTTCATTCTCGTTACGCAGCATGTTTAAACTTGTGCGAGAACCAAAGAGGTTCATTCTCGTGTTATGCAGCACGTTTGAACTTCAGCAAGAACCAATGAGGTTCATTCTCATGTTATGCAGCACATTTGAGCTTCTGCAAGAACCAATGAGGTTCATTCTTGTGTTATGCAGCACATTTGAGCTTCTGCAAGAACCAATGAGGTTCATTCTTGTGTTACGCAGCACGTTTGTGCTTCCTCAAGAACCAATGAGGTTCATTCTCGTGTTACGCAGCACATTTGAGCTTCTGCAAGAACCAATGAGGTTCATTCTCATGTTATGCAGCACGTTTGAGCTTCTGCAAGAACCAATGAGGTTCATTCTTGTGTTACGCAGCACGTTTGTGCTTCCTCAAGAACCAATGAGGTTCATTCTCGTGTTACGCAGCACATTTGAGCTTCTGCAAGAACCAATGAGGTTCATTCTCATGTTACGCAGCACGTTTGAGCTTGGTAGTTGTCAATGGAGGGACAGAAATCTTTCAGATTTCATCAAAAATGTCTTCATTTGTGTTTCAAAGATGAACGAAAGTCTTACATGTTTGGAACGACATGAGGACGAGTAATTAGAGAACTTTCTTTTTTGGTTGAACTTTCCCTTTAACATGTTATATTAATGCCATCATATTTATTAAATTAGGCATCTTGTACTTTTCTTTCTCCCAAAGTTCTAGCATAATACTTTGTTGTTTTCTCTAGGGCAAGAACAATGTTTTAATCATTTTTGGTCGACATGACTCATCCACAGTCAGTCACAGTCAACCACAGAGTGCCAGATTCTGATTCATTCTTTTTTTTTGTGTCAGCTTTGTGACTTGAGGCTGTAACATTTGCATTTGATTTTGTTTCAGAACAATTAACTTATTGGAAGAACACAAACAGCACTGAAAAAAAAGTTTTATAGCAGCCGAGTGAAAACATAATAGGCTTGAATACCTGAGATGGTTGAGGTCACCAGCAAATACTATGACATGTCATGTGACAGGTAAGTCATATCTGAATCATACCACCTGAACATCCCCCAAACATAAAGGAAGAACATCTGAGGGCACGCTCTCGCCACTGTAATTTACACTGCCTGTAGGGTGTAGGGGCATCTGTAAAGTTCAACTTTGTGATGGATGAGATGGTGTTTTTGCCCCTTGGCCTCTGAGGGATTAGGCTGCTCAGGTGTTGTTTTTAAAAGACTTAGAATTAGCTTACATTTAAACATTTAAACTGTCTTTTGACACTTTCACCACCTGTTTTCTGGAGGGAAAAAAAGTCTGGGCCCCCTGGATTGAACCTTGAGTTCACGTTTCATGTCAACAAATGAATTCATGCGGCAGTCATATATCATATCTGAAATGTACATTTGTAACTGCTGTAATTGTGCGACTCATTGGCAGAGCTTTGACTCTTTGATTATTAATTACTCTTGACATATTCATGAAGCATTTGCAGTGACACTGAGGCCTCGGTTGCAGACTTGGGAAAAAAGCACTTTAATGTTGAGAAGCAGACCACATAAATGCAACTAGGAGAAGAATATAATTGCATACTTCAGGAATTCCCTAAACATGATCTATGAGATAATATCATGCTTCATAGAGCTAATTTGTTAATTTGTATTCTGTGGTGTTGCTGTGGTTAGCCTTGGTTCTTCTACTTAAGCCAGTTCTGAGTCAGACCCTTAAATGGATATTTCACTCAAAGCTGAAAATGTATAATTTATGCACCCTTATTTCACAAACCTTTATGGCTTTTTTTTAGAACACAAAAAATATAGTTTGTTTACCTGCTTTTGTCCATACATTGAAAATCAATAGATTCCAAAACATTTGACATTTTTCATAACAAAAAAATTATTCGTGTTCCACAGCGTCATAAAGGTTGTACAAAGGGAGAGAACATTAAGACAGATTGTCATTTTTAAATGACCAATCTCTTTAAATGGTATTAGCTTTACATAACTGCACAATCAAATTCATATATCAATTTGCAGCTATGTGTGTCTTGCTGTTTATATTTGGTGGTTCTGCTCTAATTTTGCTCCACCCTCAGAATATCTGCATGAAGCCCACCTGCATAGGAATGACAAAAGGGACCACCAAGCTTAAATGCATGTTTCCATGGAAACCAGCTGAAGGCTGAGTGCACTGACTTTAAATGCCTGCATAGACATTACAGCCTGAGTCAGTGGACTAGCAGCGCACAGGCCTTTCCTCTTTAGGCATTAGCTGTCGAGACCGGAATTGTACTTCGCACAGATGGTTCATCGTTCGTGGGATGATGGGATGACCAAAAATATGTCAGGCTCCCTAACCAAAGCCATAAACTTAGGCTGCAAAACACTTGGGAAAATAACATCATTGTAGGAGCCTCACACTGCACGCACACATTGCTGAATGGTTTCACATCAGTTTGCATTAAGAAACAGTTGATTGTTCAGTTTGGGTGGGATCGTGAAAATGTACTTACTAGAGTAATTACAATTACTGAGTAATAACTAGGTACTAACCCTGAACCTACCCCTAAAGCTACCCCTAACCCATGTACTTAACATATATTCGCCAGTACTTTCTAGGTAAGTAAGTACACTGTAAGTACTGTAGCCTGTAAAGGGAAGCGTGTCAAACTTTATGCTAGTTTTTAATAAGCAAATAGCAAGTAATTATACTTTACCATATTTTAACATAGGATTTATCTCTCTGCAGTGATACGCAGGTCCTAGTAGGGGCTCATGTGAGATATTTGTGATAGAAAGGCAAATTTGGTTTATCCAGCATTCTGTTTTTACAATATCAGCATTGAATCTGGGGTTCTCACAATAGTTGTGAAAGAGCTGACTTCCAAATCCAACATACACTTTATATTTCAAAATATTATGTACAAACTTTTATCAAGGACAGTGTTACAATGACATTTTATGAGCAACACTTTTTTATTCAGTGCCTTTTTCTGTAAAAAATGATTTATCACATTTTTTTTTCTTTTGTCACAACTTAGATAATCTTGGCTATGTGGTTCAGATAACATTTACATTTTTTTTTTATTTCTGTTGATTAAACAGAAAATTTAAAATGAATTCAAAATGTAAAGGCATTCAGGTTGCTTACTTTTTAAGTTAACCCAACAATTATTATTTTACAGTAGTGTAGCAGTGTATGTTTTATATTATTGACTATCAATAATATAAAAAGCTTAATAACAATGTTTTAAAAAAATGCTTATGAATTTATTCTAAGCTCATGCCTGCATAAAAAAAAATCTCTCTGGAGGAGCTAGCTGGATTTGGATCACTTCTCTATGGCAAATCTTAACTCATTCTTTAACCTAGTTAAAGAACGCCGATCACGTGTTTGGTTTCGTCAAAGGACGTCAGCCAAACTATTTGCTCAGCCTCGATTTGGCGCTAAGCCCGTATAGTGCTCTGAACAATTTTCTTTAGCCTACACATCTCTTTGTGTATGATTCAACTTTTTTAATAATAGTTTAGAGATTATAATTCATTTAATTAACCAACTGGAAGATTGGAGAATTTGAAACTTTGATAATATCTGAAAAGCTATATGCCGAGAGGTCTACTAGGTGATAGTATCTTATCAGTCCTATCAGTCCTGTTTAGTAACTTACCCAGCCCAGACCTTATACGATTCATCATTCTGCGTCTCTAACAAATACCGGTGTGCGATGCTGGCTGCTAGGCCTCGTTTCCATTTCAACACTTGGTGCAACGTGGCGTCGGATGTTTGGAAATATTCCCCAAAGCTATTTCACTGTACACTCTTCTCGATTAACCACCGATTTCGTCTCATTGCCTATAAATTGAGTTTTGCATTGGTAACCTCACAATTGGATTTCCCACATGAACGGAACTTGCACTTTATCGTGCATGTACATATCATTAAAAATGACTCGAGTCACCCTATTTATTAAACAGGATCCCACCAGCCACGGATAAGAACTAATCGTGGTTAAAATCGTGTTTTTTATTTTTTATTTTAAAATAAATTAAATGTTTCCGTTTACATATAGAACCAGAATTGACAGTGTTTTTATTGTGCAAAAAGTAAAAATCATTTGCCAAGATCCTCCCTTATCGATAAAGGTTAAAATTGAGTTATTTTAAGGCTGTAACAACGAGCGTAGGCTATATCAATCAAATTAGTCGAAGAGGACACATATGCCTAGAGTTCACAGAGGGCCGAAGCATTTAAATGAGATCGTTTATTAGCTATCTATTCAGATTTGGAGTGAAAAAGTATAAATAAACCACGAGCAGATCTAAGTCTTAGTTTATCCTATTGTTAAATCATTCCTTACGCTTACGGCGTTGCTTGATAAAACCATAACTAGTTATTATCCGCGGTCTGATTTGGTACACGGTAAGCCTAGATTAATCACATCCCATACAATATATATAAATTAATAATTATTATACATTATATAAGCTAAATCATTGTTTAAAAAAATGTGGTTTGACTGTTGAAATCCGTGCTCTTTCTCAGCGGCGGATTGAATTACGCGGAGTGCTGCCTCAACACCAACCCCCTGTTGAAGGTTTAATAGGCAATAAAATTTAATTGCTGAACTCCAAAACGTTATAGCTCTTGGCCAGGAGATTCCCTGTGTCGTCAGATACAGTAAAGGGCTTATTTACTCAGCATCAACATTAGTCTCTTTCTTGGGTGTATTCTGTTTTAGTCTACAAATTTGATGACATCTAAAACTTCCCTTCGGGTTAATTTTATACAGTTAAGAATCAAAATTTAACACCAACTACGCAACTGGGAAATTAGCAAAGATTAATAATAAAAAAGAATGTAGCACGTAATTAACTGCGTATTAATTTTGCGTTAGTTGCGTTAGTTAGTTTTGATTAGCGGTTCTAAACTTAGCCTACTTTTGGCTTATACATATCTAAATTTGTCCCTCGAAAAATGATGATAAAATTAATTTATGTTGTAACAAGTAAATAGCCTAAACTAAACTTTATCATAATACATCAGCTAAACAGTTAATAGTAATAATTTAGGTCTTTGAATCTTTCTTCATGTTTAATAACAAACCTGTTATTTCTTAATCGGAATAGTGAAGAAATAAATAACTTCGCTTTTATTTTCAATAACAAGTACAAATTTATTCTATGAAAATATGGCGCTTTGCCGACGAGCGATACAAAAATAAAACGTGAAAAATATCACTTTTTTTCCAGCCATATTTTCTCTGTACACAAAAATGGTCACTCGATTATTGAAAAACTTACCTCATTGATTAATGGTCTAGGCCTATATTTAAAGTCACAATTAAATACACAGACCATCAATGTGAGAAAATATTGACGTCCCTATAATGAAACTTCAGTTAGAGTTAGTAGCTCAAGTGTTGCAGGTCGATTGTTGTAAGCGTCTCAGAGAAGAAATCAAAGGCCTCCGTTGATAAACCAATGGGGCTGTCTACAGATTCTGACAAACTTGGGGACACGGCATCTGAGAGGTGTAAGCATGAATCGTTGGAGAAAACGTTGAAGTCCTGTAAAGAGACGTCCAGGGCCGAAGGACTGCCATTGTCCTGAGCAGATGCACAATCCGGGGCCATTGTTGAGCCGCAGATAGGAACAGTGGGTGACGGGTTGGGAAAATGTTTCAGATGTTTGTCATTGCTACCTAAAGGAGAGACAGTTGCGCTTTGGGAATCACTATTGTGTCCATTCTGTGACTGTTGTGAAGTTAAGGTATTCTGCTGAAATGGATAACCCTCTCTTTCCAAAAGCGCCCCTGATACATTGTTTGCCACTTGTTCGAAGAAAGATTTCCCATCACCCCGTCCGCCTGCCTCCTCCAAGCTCGGTGGTTTTCCATCGCCGTTGTGGTTTTCTTTACATTGTGTTTGCCGTTTGTGTTTCATTCTCCGGTTTTGAAACCAAACTTTGACTTGCCGCTCGGTGAGATCCAACAGAGCGGCGATTTCCACGCGCCTTGGTCGGCAGAGATACTTGTTGAAGTGGAACTCCTTCTCCAGCTCCAGCAGCTGAGTGTTGGTGTACGCCGTTCTGAGTCGGCGAGTTGCCCCACTGCCACCATCAGAAATCTCGGGCGAGCCTATGAAGGGATTATAGCATTATACATTATTGATACGCCACTAATTATAACTCTTGATTCTTTTTACAACGGCGCTGTGGGGCTTAAAGCTGACCCCACAAACTTGTCAAATATATTGCGTTTCTCAGTGAACATAAATTGTTTGTGGGAATAGAGCCACAGCACTTGAATAATTTGTGTCCTCATCCCCTATGCCAGAATATACTGATGTGTCTGGTGTGAGTGCGGAGAGGTCCGAGTGAAGATTAATGAACACGCCAGCTGCCGAGTTGAGTAATGGCAATCTATCATTCTTCATTACTGTCAAATATTAAAATTCATGCCCTGTACTACAAGTAGCTAACACACAGTTTAGGAGTTGTCCAGAACAGATTCTCCGCATCCAAAAACGAACAAAAAACTTTTTAGGTATTAACTTGTTCGCATTCAGTTCACATGACCCATGAGGATAACAAACTATCATGCACCTTCACCAGCACGGCCTTGCGCAACACGGCAACTAAAAATAATAATAGCCTACTGATAATAAAAACAATTGCATTTCGTTTGCAATGAACTGTAACACGATGAAAATGCATTAAATCCAAATACCTTGAGGGGAGAAGTATAGTGGACCAGGATCGGTGGTTGTTGCTGTCGAAGTTGTCTGGTTTTTCTTGGATGCCTTTTTCTCCTTCATCCAAGGGTACTCTGGGGGTAAGGATGCGGCAGGCAGCGGGCATGAGCCATTAGGGTTTTGCTTGGGCCGGCTGTGGCGAGGGTGGCTGCCGGGGTTCAGGCTTGGAATGGTCTGCTCAAAAGGAGGAGGAATCAGTGTCGAGTGTGAAAGCGTCGAGCTCTTGATTGATGAACTTTGAAATGCATCACCGACAGGGGGAAAAGATGTCAGGCACTCAGCGAGCGACGGCTGACTATTGATAAAACCCGTCTCTCGCTCGAATTCGTAATTCATCTCCTCCAAGTCTTGCAAATTCGCCGCTCACAAATTTGTGACCCAAGGAAGATATAATGAAATATCGTGCCGGGTAAAAAAAAAAAAAAAAACTATTTTGCTGATTACGGCCGTATGGGGACCGCGGTGCCATCAAACTATTGCTTTCATGGAGACAAGGTTGAAATTGGACCGTATTGCTTGTCACATGATTACCTCTGTCCAATGACAATTTGGGGTTTAATCAAAAGAAGCCACTGTCTGTGTGATTGATCGAAAAAAGTCCGAGAGGAACGCCTCACTCTCTGGGACGGGCTAGTTTATTTACGCATTTATGGTCAGTTTGCCCACTGCTCGGTAGATAAGTATAGCCAGTACCTGAAACAGAGTGACAGTCTGCTGTTTTTCCCTTATTTTTTGACCGGCCCTCGGCTGAAGATCCCTCAACACATGCAGCAACTGAACACATAAAACACAGACCAATAGCCACGATCGAGGAAACCCATTAATCCCGAGTCTGGGTTTTTACTACTTTCTTAGAGAATGCGCGCTCTCGTTTGTGAATGCACGAGCAAACGCGCGCGAGAGAGTACGCGCGCACACTGAGAGCGCAGGCAAATTCTTTGAAAGCCCTGACGTGCCCGCGTGTTTACACGCGCACTGACGCATTATGCTTGCATTAGTGTTGTTTTAGTTTGAGACATTGTTGTTATTTTTAAATGACTGAACTTAGCCTATAGAATTACATAAATTCCGATTTTTTTTTTAATTGCATTCTTCTACTAGTTGGCCATCTAACGATATTCAATGATTCAATGTAGAATTTCTGAAATGTCTGATAATAGCCTACATTCATTTGAAAAATAATATATTTTTTAATATGTAAATAATAACACACTATGCATTTTACCTGAATTGAGCCAATTTGTTTAAACGGTGCTAAATCGTGCAGGAAACACATCGCTACACACCAATGCTATTATTCATTTTTTTAAAAAAAAGTGTAAATCCACTAGTTTTTTTTTTTTTTTCGTTCAAGAATGTCTCTTCTATGTTGCCCTCAGAAGTCTTTAGCTAAGTAGGTGTAGGCCTCGAGCACTTTATTGCTTATATTCCAAACAAAGAGCCCTGGAAGCCTGCACGCTATCAATCTTACACGCCAAAAGGTCTGACAGCTTAGTGCCCTAAGAACACATTTAAACCATCTAACACTCCCTTAGATCATATGTGGCCAGGAAGAAGAGAACAACGAAGTACTAACGGTTGAGACTTTCTCCATTTTATAAATTAAAATGACTAAAGTGATATTTTCCGATTAAAGGATTGGCCTTGAACATAATTCCATACCGGATGTGCTTCTAATGGACCAGCGTCATTTCGGACCTAAAATCGTTTGTTTTTAAATTTTCGTTACTGGAAAGCCAGCCTTTATCGAAGGGTTTGGAATGAATAGGATTATATATTGATTTTAAGAGAAAAAACGCGTGTTTTTGCAACTAACACAGGAGCTATTGTGTGTAGAAGAACGTGGGTGTCGGCATTCTTCAAAAATACCCACTCCTTCCTACACATTTTCAACACGAACGAAAAATCTTCGTCGTTTCCCACGAGCTGAACATCAAGGTCTATCAAGGATGTGTCTTTATGGATACTGTTAAATGTAATATTAATTTATGTTAATTTATCCGTTGAAATATTAAATAATACATTGCATTGTGTTTATTCTAATTAGATAGGCCTGGCAGAATGGATATGTGAGTCAAATTAAATTGCAGTGCTTTAAATGAAGCATATTTTTGTTTTTGTAAATTGGCAATCGAACTGTAAATTTCATATGTATTTGCAAATGTATTAATGGATGTAAATGAATAGGCTACTAAATGTATTTTATTTCATGCTTATTATCGGCAAGACGTTTTGTATAATTCCAATACTTTATCAGACTCTTTACACAATCTTTGTTTATTGGATTAAATTCTCAATGTCGAGATAATGTTGTTGACGAGAGTTACCTTAATTCAAATTAATGTAGCCTTTAAAAAATGCTTCAGTGTGTGTAATTAAAAAAATAACAGTTCGACATTTTAATTCACGTTCATGACTGGCAAATAAAATATTAATAAGAAACAATTCTGTTTGTTGCGTTTTAAAGTCAACGTTTCTAAAAGGGCAAACCAGCGTATTTATTCAAATAAGTGTTATCATTTTAAATTAGATATTGAATAATTGTTTGATTATTTGGCAGTTTGCTTGATTTTCGTCCACGTGCTGAGTAGATGTTCCAGTACCAGTCTTTTTGGATACGTCTGGCACGATGGACAGCCTCGCTGACCGTCTGTTAGACTAAATAATGAATGCTGACGGTCATAAAGCACAAGTTAACAGTGAAAACTTGGCTCGTTGGATCAGCAAACAAATGAAGCGTTGAGTGAGTTACATTCATGCATTAATAGATTCCGAGAATAAAATATCTTTACGCATTCCAATAGCCTAAATAATGGTTTACCTACCTTTTGAAATGCGTAAATATATTTTAAATTTATCAGGCCTATAGGTATTATTATTCAAGTGTTCAGATTGTAAAACCTTTGGTTCTTCAAAATAATATAAAATGATTTTTATTTTTTTCATCGGTAAAAGGTATAGGCCTACTAAGTTATTAATGACCGTATTTCTCAGATTTTCTTTTTTGTACCATGCAATTAAATATTTTCTCCTTGGGTTCATTTAGTCTATTTAAGCGAATTAATTCGTTTCATAAATCACCATAACTCTTTATGGTGATTTATGTAGATTCGGAGGCCTGTTTAATAACAGATATATCTGAATAATGAATGGAGTTAAGGTAAATAACACTGCATTATATATTTCTGAATATATGACAGGCCATGTGAATGAGATATGGTCAGCTGAATGGACTTTATCTCTCCTGCTTCGGTCCAACCACATTTGCAAATCTTTACGCTTCTGTAAAAGCAGGGTTTGATCCGTCTGTATCCTTCTCAGCGAGCTTTGTAAATTAGTGCGAGTGAGGCGTATATGGGGTGTTTATGATGTCTGCGAAGGCAGTAGCTGTGGCAACAGTGGCGTTTGATGGATGACCCTCTACCCACACACATTGCACTGGGTCGTAAACGAGCTCCAAGCTCCTATTGTTGTGCTAGAGGTGTATGTCATTTCCGGGCATATGCACTATATAGGCTACCCCTGCCCAACAAGAGAATTATGCCGTTTTATTTAGGATATGACGTTGTGGGAGCTCGTGCTGAAGATTAGATTGCCGGCGTTAACAAAACTGTAACAATTTTGTTAGAACTTCTTGATGTTAAAACCAGACAATAAGGCAGGTTAATTTTGCAATCCAACGTATAGGGTTTTGCCAACTTATCTAGGCCTACTTTATATTGGGGCTTCTTTTCATCAATACATTTACGAACAAAAATTAGGAGACCAAATGCATATCGATTTACTAACCGATCTCATATGCGTCTCCATAGCGATTTTTACCAGCCTGGAAAGCTATGGGTTAGTTGATTGTAAATTATTAGAGTGATGTGATCCAACATCTAGAATGGACCAACGAATAACGTTGTCACTGGATAATCATGTCTGATTCTTGGGGGGGATCTCATGAGTCTCTTGCATTAGGAAACGAAAATGTCTTATTGTATGCGGAGTAGGCCTATTGGATTAGCATATAATGGAGTAGCAAAAACAAGCAATTATTGTAATTGTTTTGGAAAATAATATTTGATGTGTTCAGTAGGCCTACTCGTAGGGAGGCATGAAATAGATTGGTCAATAATGCCATATTTGTTATAGGCTATTATAGGCCTATGATATTTTACGATTCATGATAGCCTTCATTGTTTTAGTGTGATTTGCCTAAAACAACCAGAAGTAAATTTTAAGTGCTGCATCAATTTTAAAAATCGTTTGTTAGATTATTAGGCCATCAGTTTTCCTATAAACAATAGCTTATAGGCCTATAGGCTATATGATCAGCGGAGGCTGATTGCCCTGTTTCTGCTAACCGCCCTGCTTCTATAAATGCGTAAAGCTGTGCAACGTAACGAATATTATAGACGAGTTAATACTGTTCCGATGCACTTTATAATGATACTCAATGTGAGCTCTGACATGACTTTATCTTTAATTCATTGCTATGAGGCTGTCCGAGTATGAATATTTTTGAAAACCAAAGTCAAAATTTTGTTAATATAATTTAGAAGATAACATGCAATTGGCGAAAGTTTCAGCTTTATTTCCTGAGCTGGTTTTCGTAACGATGCACTTTTTAATGAGTAGGCTTAACTGTGGCGATTTATGTTCTGGTTCAGGAAACCGGCGTTACATTATCGTTAAATACCGTATGACGTTAGTTAAGATGATCCACAATGCGTGTGTAAAGGCTTGTTGCATAACCGGGAAATCCAGCTCACAGTAACACATATCTAACATATAGACAGCAAGCAACGTGATGCGGAAATGGATTTTACTCTTTTAAGTGAAAGAGGAAAATGACTATGGTTTCCTGAAACATGGGCTAAATGGGACCGAAGTTCGTAAGTGCTACTTCATCACTTCGGCATTCTTTCCCAATGCATCGTTTGTATTTAGCCTAGGCTAGGCTACCGCTGGTGGATTAACAAGGGGCCCTAGACCTCTCATAAGACTGTAAGGTGCTTCTTCTTAAATAGCTCTTCCCCTCCATCTTGATCTACAACACAGTATAAACAATACGCAAGCATATTGAATGTTAAAATTAAACTTTTTTAGTTTAGGTTATACTTTCTAGTCCTTGGGTTATGCAATGAAAATTAAAGGGTCCAGTGTTGTTTGAACTAAAATGTTCTGTAGCAATTTTTTCCGTGCATATGAACTTATAACTTGCAATAACTTGGTAATAACTACTAACACCACTGAATCTATACTTAAACCTAACCTTAACCCATGTTACCTTATGTTACCTTTTAGGCAAGTACACTGTAAGTACACATGTAAAAGTGCAACCAAATGTTCTTCTGAAAGAAAGTCATACAGGTTTGGAATTACATGAGGTGAGTAAATGATGACATTTTTGGGTGATCCCTTTAACTGCTTTAACCCCAACCTGACACTTCACCTCCTATCAAAGCAGTCCGACCCAAGCTCACATCAACATGCCCACCTTTGTGTGTTGTGCATGATTATTTATACACAACCAATAATAGGTACAAAGGTCAAAGATACAAAGTATCCTTGCTTCAGTACACTCCAACACGTTCTAGCACTTTCTCATTTTCCATTTGGCTACAAATCCATTTGCATACATACGACATCCAGTACAACCGTCTGATCTCTGTTCAGCACTTTAATACCATATACTAAATTTGTTTTCAAGTTCAACTTAATTAATTAGTTGATGGTTTGAATTGCTGGCTGTTGTCCCATATTGACTCATATTGGGTTCCCTTAAACCTTTCAATTAAAAGCTCTTAAAGAATATTTTTTTCTTAGTGTGAAGAACATCCAAGAAGAACCTAACATCTATGCTTTCCACTGGACATATAAGGTTGTTGTTGTTGTTGCTGTTTTAAGTGGAAAAGGGTTCTGTAGGTTCTATTTTTTAAAGAACTGTTCCCTGAAAGTTTTTGTATTTGTCCAGTGGAAAGGTTTCCATGAATGGTGGAAGCATTCAAGAGAATTCAAATCATTTTCCAAACATCAATCCATGATGTACGTTTAATGGTTGATGTAAAAAATAATAATAATACACTCTAAAAAATGCTGGGTTGTTTTAACCCAACTTTGGGTCAAATATGGACTAACCCAGCCGTTGGGTTAAATTTTTACATTACATTTTTAACCCAACATTTCGGGTTTGTCCATATTTGACCCAAAATTGGGTTAAAACAACCCAGCATTTTTTAGAGTGTAATAAAAAATAACTTAATGTAAATCAAAAGATAACAACATCTAAAATTAGATGCATGTGATATGGGTTCTTAATTAAGCATTTGTAATATTATCAGTATCAGTTCAACTTGAAAGTCTTAAAAAAGTCTTAAAAGTCTTAAAAAAAACACTAAATGAAATGAGAATTCAATCTGACTTTGTCCACAGGTCTTTTTAACCAAAAAAAAAAAAAAATGATTTTGAACCTTAATGGACAGTTTGCATCGATAAATAGGTCTTGTTCGTGGCCCTTGTTAAGTTAGGTTGCTGTAATGCAGAATCCGTTTTGTCACTTGCTATTTTGAAACAAACCGCTGTCTCCACCTGCTGGATATTAATGGTAGTGTCTCATTTAATGGTAGTTGTGGCTCATTTGGCCGGTGTGTTTGTTAAAATACAATAAAATGTTTCCCAATTCTGATCAAGGAGGCCCCACAGCACTGCCCAATTTTGGTGTCTCACTCATTAGACACACCAAAAATAGCCTAGATCATGAAGCACTTTATTAATGAGCTGATTCGCTGATGGATCAGGTGTTAAATAAGGGAGCACCTTTAACAAAACGTCTAGAAATATCTAGAATTCCTAGTCATTATACAATTTAGCAAAAACGAGAGCTCCTTTGTGATCTTTAAGGCTTCAAAAACTGAACAAGAGTTCATAAAACGTATATAACTTAAATAAATAAATTAATAAAAAGTAGCTATGCTTATATTACCAAAATAAAAAATAGTAAGCTCTAATAACTGCTGGATTGTTTTAACCCAACTTTGGGTCAAATATGGACAAACCAAGCCATTTGGTTTACATTTTTTAATTAGCCTACATTTTTAACCCAACGTTTGGGTTTGTCCATATTTGACCCAAAGTTGGGTTAAAACAACCCATCATTTTTAGAGTGTATAGACACAGCGTTAGAAAAAGTGCAATGCGTCAGTTTTGTTTCCGCAACAAATGGGTGATCAGTTCTGCAACGTTTTATTTGTCGCTGAGGAGAAGCCTAATAAAGTAATTAAATGAGAAAAAAACAGACAGTGTGGCTGAGCCCCATTTTACGATGCTGTCTGTGTTGGAGCCTTTGAAGATCTGCAAGCAAGGTTGGCTATAGCCTATAGCTTTTTTTGCTTTCGGGTTTCCCTTATTTTGTGTTTATTTAATACAAATAATAATGATAGTAATAATGATAGCATAGGCTACTAATATTAATAAGAATACAATAAAAGTAATACAAACAATTTTAATGACTAAAAAAACGTACATTCAAAATTTTATAAAATCTATATAACGGTATTGACACGCCTACAAAAAATCGTAGTTCCGCCCTCAATCGCTTTGCACCCCATAAACAGTTAAGACTGTGATTGTGGTTTATTGCCACACGGCCACTAATATCGCTTGCAGGGGCGAGGCACGAATAGAATGAGCAGGCAGGCCTGTCTACGAGCATCAAACTAAGCTTTATTTATTCGGATAAACGGCATCCTGGTCGTTAACAGGACACTAAACAGTGGGTTGCAAGATAACAGTAGAATGAGCGCGCGCATGAGAACTGTTTGGAGGGCGGTAAAATATTTGTCGAGTGAAAATAGCACGGGATTGCAACAGTCATTGTCAACCTCGTTCAGGAACGATTTATTAATGTGATCCTGGTACTTTAGGTGCTTTATAGCACACAAACACTTGACTGCAATTATTAGTTACAACTTCGATGCAGATTTGCACTTCATTGGCAATTATTGTAACTAATGAAACCCAAGAAAATGTATTATTTTCGGAAAGAACTTCGGTAGAGAGTCTTAACGAAAAATACTTATATCAGAAATGTATTTATTATGTAGCCTACACATTTAATTTGAAAACAACGAACACTGTTGATTTGAGGTATTGGTGTATGCAATTTTCACATATAACATTACAAGCACATAAACGTTACAAAAATCACTGAAATATTACAAAGACGAACAACACAACATAAATTAATTCTTCTTAATACATAGGTAGTTCAAATACATCTAGGTAGTCACATTAAACATTGATACATTACGCTACAATTTATTTTTGAATAATAAAAATAGTCATGCATATCATCAGCATTTCATATCACAGAAACTATTTCCCTGAAATCATGAACTAGTATAGGCTACTTAAAAAAAACAGTATGTAACATATTTAAAATGTACACAATTCGAAATGCTAAACTTACAACAAGCAGAACATAAGATAACTATCACTGTATAAAGACAAAATCATATATATATATACAAGCTCAAAGCTTTGTGCAATCTAACTTTACAAAATGTTGGCTATCAATAATAATCTGTTGTGCATGAGGGAAAAGACAGGCTAATTCACATCTGCAGTGCGCATTTACAGCTTTCCATTTTTTAAATGTCTTTTGGACGATCTTTATTGCATTTCTTCATCTTCATCCTACGGTTTTGGAACCAAATTTTGACTTGTCTCTCGGTGAGATTTAGGAGTCTTGCCACTTCATATCTACGGTCGCGTGAGAGGTACATATTAAACAGAAATTCTTTCTCCAGCTCGAGAGTTTGATGCTTAGTGTATGGACAGCGCTTTTTCCTAGTGGACTTCGCGTACAGCCAGTTGGACGAAGGGTTATCTGCAAGAAGGGTCGGAGAGAGAGAGCTAGTCATGTTGCCACTTGAAAAATACTGCGGCCATTTTATGACCAGCGCGCGAGAAGAAAGAAGAGTCTAAAATAAAGGCTATATGCTGAGAAGTTGGAAAGCAATATCACGGATTAAATGTTTCCGGATTAAATATAGTTTAAATGATCGAACGTTTTATGTGACAGTTTTTGGCATCCTTGAATGAAGGGTAAACAAGGGCCTTACTGTCTGTTAGAAGAAAAAGAGTCCAGATTGCATGCAATAATTGTGCTTTATACAATTGTATCCAGTGTATTGTGTCTAAAACCACACTCTAAATTTAGGGCATGCAGCACTTCAAATAATTCTTGAAAATATGACATGCAGTGCTCTATATTAATGCAAATGTGTGGTTTTTAATTACTGGACATTTTCCATTGAAACAGGCATATATGCTGTCAAATGAAAATGCAGATTATCGCCAGGACTAGAAGATCTTTAGCTTTAGGCCTATATACTGGAAAATGTTGGATAGCTGATATATGAATGCATTACAATTCAAACCGACTCTCATTGTTTAGTCTGTTTGAGTAGCCAAACATGAAGCCTGTTCATATATCAAAACACATTCTGATAATTTGCACTTACTTGGGTCAACATCTAGATTCTTCTCTGCTGGAGTTTTGTCATCCTGTGATCCGTTGGAAACCGCATCGTCAGGTACCTTCCTCTCTGCTTGGCTATTGTTGTCAGTCGCGGCCACTTGCAGTGTATGCGTGGTGCACTCACCACTCCCAACGAGTGGTTCTAGTTTTATATCATGGTGCGTATCTGTGGATAATCCCGTGAAAGGAAGGGCAGGAAGCGGTTCGAGCGTCCAGGAGCGCACGGATGATCCATCGGGTTCTCCTGTTGAACATGGGTGATGAATGTACGGGTGGTAGGCGATAGATGCGCCTGTGGGCTGCACTGGCACGGGACCCCACGACGCACCGAAAATTGACGATTTGGCCTGGAAAGTGTACGGCTCCTGTTCGCCATATTCAAGTAGCGTCAGTTCGCGAGCCTGCTGCTGGACCATGGGTCCAGATGAGAACCTCGGTGCCAAATGATCGTCATTCTCGTGTGGAATGTGTGAGTCAGCGTAGTAACTCAGTGTCCCCAATGTCGACATAACAAAAAACAAGCAGAGAGAGAGCAGCCGGACGGATACACCCACAATGAAACTGCCACAAAAGCAGAATCCGTTGAAATCAAGTAACTAACTAGCCTACTTGACTTCGCGGTGAACTACAGACCTCTGATAAGTTGAATCACTGCAGAGATTGGATTGGATGTGCTAGACACGTGACTGTGGGAGATAAAGGGGAAACCCTAGCCAGTACGCACGGTTAAATGGCCTCCATTTTACAAGTCATATTTTTAATGGTATAGCCATATGCTTTTATGAAGGTGGATTTGCTTTTATTAATGTTGTTAAACTTCAGCATCTAATAACCGAGCGTAACAAAAATGGTTATTTGAGACGCGTCATTGTAGAAGTTCGTATCCAAATTTTAATGGAGTGGGCCTACTGTTTGCAATAATGAAATAAATCCCTAAATACGTTCATACATTCTCATATCATTGTATAATCACTAGCTTAATCACTGAAGTCCAGTTCAATATCAACCTTGTTTTAGACAGAACATCTTTATTTTTCATAAATTCTGCAGACAAATATATGATGGCTTCCGCAATCCCTAGTCGAGCACAAGGAGACATAAAATAGCCTAGTTCAGACATAAAAATGATCTTTACGTGAGCCGTATGTATACTTTATATGGCAATAAGTGCCACTTGGATGGTTGAGATATGACCTGCTAAGTGACCAGTCATTCAGTAACGCGCGCGCAAACCTTCAGTCTTCAGCAAGGCACACTGTGATATGCACACAAGTTAAACTAAATCTGAACGCGAACGACCGATTGGGGATTAAATCTAACTGAGAAAAAAAAACCCATAGGGCTACAAAAACTTGATCAGATGCAACTTCTACAAAACAGACAATTTGTTTTATGTTTAAAATTAAGCTTTACGCATCAAAATAAAATCTTACAAGAGCTGTGAAACATTAAAACGTAAAGATTAAAACGGTGCAAATAAATTAATTAATATTGGTCAACCCTGCAAAACAGATTCAATCATGATTTTATTTTTTAAAATCATCCATCACAATAGTATGGAACAATCACAATTTTGTTGTGACGGGCTAAATTGTTCTTATTCGTTATTAAAATGATATATAGCAGAAACGATTTGTTTTACAATATCCCACATTGTAAAAGAAAATATTAATAAGTTATTGCAACATGTTTTTACATTGCTTTAACTAATCAAAATAAGTTTAGCAATTTTCAACTTTTTCAATGGGTTATAAAGGAATTTAAAGTCAGTTTAGAATAATTTAAGCTACTTAAAAATTGTAGGCAGCATTTTTTTTTTTGGCTTTATTCAGTGAAATAGTGACTTGTATTGTAAAACTGTATATATTCGAGTTGCAGCGGTTAAATTTAAGCATATAAACGTATTGTTGGACAGCATCCGTTATAATCATTCAGAATATAAACAATAGCCTCCGTGGTTTTTGAAAATCAGAAACGTTTTTATTGTAACGTAAACTTTGACTATATACATTGTTGTTACAATGGGAAATTGTTTAATTTAATGCTGATAACAGTACACTCTTTTTTTAACCTTATCCTTGAAAATATTGACAATAAAGGACAACCATTGGCGACCAGAAGCAAATTTTCTCCCTCTTGTCAATGAGCATGTGATCTTGTCCTCGGAAGAGTGGATCTCTGGGCACTTCAACAGACTCTGTTTATAACGGGGGCTATTACTCTGTTTTTCTTCGGGTTGTAACTTGGCTGTCTGGCCTGAATATGGCCAATAAAGCCTTTGTGTTTTTTTCCTCCGGCCCAGCAGACGCATCCGGCAATGTGGGCGTGCTCTCAGTCTCCGTTGCGCACGCGGCTTTGGCCAAAGTGCATTGATCGTAACCGAGGCCTTGCTATCTACACCTGCACTCCAACATTTGCTGTTATACTGATCTAAAGATTTCAGTTCAACAGTGCAATTCACGCAATCAAATAACGTCGTTAATATATCAAATGTTGTTGAGAATTGCTTGCTGGTGTTTCTGTTTTAGCTAGACTAGTTTTGATTAAACTCTTCTCAGACTTCGCCGCAACATATTTGTCTTGTTGTTGTGCTGAATCTCACTGCGAGGCAATTAAGACAGTTTCGTGTTGTGGGGATGTAAAATAGAGCCCAACAACATGAAACTACCTAAATCACTCAGCAGTTGTCTTTGTTTCTTGCTTGAGGAGACAAGTAAGAAGGCGACGCTGTATTTGTATCTATTTATTTTATCGACATTGTGCGTTGCACAAGCAAATAAGTACAATAAAACTGCTGTGATCCTACAAATGCATAAAAATGGTGACTTTTCATGGGATATTCCAACACAGAAATTGGATTATATAATCTGTATGTCGACAGGAATAGGAATGATTGGAATAATAATTTGTGTGTGACTCTTCACGGGACCAGTACTGTGCAGAGGAAATAATAGGCTATAAATCATTTAATTTTACAGTCAGTAAAATTACAGTCATCAGTTCTCCATTACAAATCCCCGCGTTATAAAGAAAACCAGGAGTGTTTCAAAGAATCGTTTAAAAGTTGGCTATAGTTTTACGTACATGCCTTTATTTATTTTCTGCCACCAATAATTAATTTACATCTGAGTCCAGAAAGATTGTACCTTTCAATCCGGTTAAAACAATACAAGAAGTCCCGTCATGTTTATAACTATACAAGTTTCTAAGAACTGGACTTATGCCTAGAACAGCAAATGACAAGGCCTTAAGAAGAAACGCTTTGTTATTATTTAAAATGGTTCCATAATACTTATTATTATTACAACATGCAAATATCGCAATTATATACAATAAATGTACAATATAGTCTGAATGCTATGTACAATGAACACACCTTCAGCATATTTTCCTCTCTTGCTTTTACAGTGAAGTCTTGACAGTTTATAAATAACCATGACATGTTATGACGACTGGGATGTCAAATAAAATTATACATAAACAGATAAAAACGTCAACAGTATACGACACACAATAAGTTATCAATAGTATCTTGCACCAAGTCATATATGCACACGCACACGCACACACACTCACACACACACACACACCTACGGAGACGGTTTGTTGTATGGCTACCACTGCAGCTGATGGAGGAGGAGGGCGCCAGAGATCTATAAAGCGAATAGGCTTCATGTAAAACTGAAGTTGGTCGACAACTCTCGGATTCTGTTTTCTCGACTCATTTTCTTCAGCTTCATCCGTCGGTTCTGAAACCAGATTTTGACTTGTCTGTCCGTGAGGTGAACGCTGCGGCTGATCTCGAGGCGACGTTCTCGTGTCAAGTACATGTTGAAGAGGAACTCTTTCTCCAGCTCTAGTGTCTGGTGTTTGGTGTAGGGGCATCGCTTCTTGCGGCCACTCTTCGCAGTCAGCCAGTTAGCTGTACTCTCACTTTTGGAATCTCCTGCTGGAAATGTGAGGAAAATATTAGTTCAGTATAGCCCCCATTCCACAACACTTTATAATAGGCTCAATACGCCAAATTATAGTCTACCAATTAATGATTTTGGATAAAAGCGTCTGCTACTAAATGTAAACTAAAGGGTAACACTTTATAGTGTCATTGTTACATATGTTACATGTAGTTACTATAGCAATAACTATAAATTATGCATTACATGCAACTAACCCTAACCCTGTACAACACTAAGTTACTGCATTACATTTTTAAGTACCGTCAACTTGGATGTTTAAGTATTTTCAACTTAAATTACATTAAACTGACTTCAAATAACTTATTTTGACGAGTTAAAGCAATGTATAAAATGTTGTCATAACGTATTAAACATATAATTTTACAGTGTAGCCTACGTGTATTAGCCTACTTAATATTACTCAGAACTTAAATGTATAATTATAATAACAAAGACACCTTAGTGTCACCGGCTAAAGTAACAAAATCTATAAAATAATTAGGCACATAAAGTATACATTCTGTCCAGCATAGCCTCTTAGTATACTTGCGTAAATACGTTCTTCTAACATTAATGTTTTAATGTAAATGATGTGAGATTATAATATTGTTGCACAATTTATTAATTCTTTTTTTTTTTACTATTATCTGAAAGTTAAAATAGATTTTTCTTTAAAATCAATATATCGTTGTTGTTCTTGTTTTTTTTTTTTTTATTAGAACAATTGCCTTAGGCACTGATGACGACGCTTTATCGGTCGTTTCTTGTGGAAAGATTAGAAGTATAAAACAGTTGTTCACGGGCAATGTAACTAAACAAACTCGCCACATGCATCTAGATTTTTTTATAACCCACATTAGGTGATCTCACCAGATCTCAAGTTGTCACAAACACCATAATAAAAAAACAGGCTTGCTAAATAAATGGGGATAGTCTTTGGGTCGTGACTCGTGAGCAATAGGCCCTATTTGCTTTTAAAAAAAATTAGATGCATTTAGGAAACTGACGCACTGTTTTGCGTTTCATACAAAGGAATAGTGCTATGTGAATGTGTGTGTGAACATAAATAAAATGTGCACTTTTATTAAATTATATATTTTGAGCATTATGTTTTAAATAGCCTGTATGCTATTAAAAACGAGTGTTTTAAAACTAGAGAATAAAAAACAACCAAACTACATTGCATTTGTCTCGATGGAATGCTGTGTTATGTGTACAGGATTGCAGACAGACACAATGACTTAAGCTGAATTGGTTTGGGCGTGCTGCACCTCCGAGTCCTCAGAAATGTATTTCTAAATGAGAAGAATCTCGCACATGATTATGCATACTAAATTTGCCTTATGGGGTGTTTAAAATAAAAATATTACTGTATACGGAATCTGCAAAAAAAACAAATCCATATATTTATCGCGCGCAAAGGCGTTAGTGTTTCCATACGCGCCCAAAGGACGTCCAAAATCCGTTGGACTTTAAGACTGGGCAACAAAACTAACCTTTAGTAACGGTGACTGCCTTCTCCGGGCTGTCCGGTGGCTCGGGAGATGAAGCGGTGCCAGTGGACCCCCTTAGCTCCTTGTTTCTTCCCGGGGCACATGGTGCGCATGCGGGGGGTTCTTCGCTCTCTTCCCGGCTCGCTTCTGCTGCTATGTCTGAAAGAGAGCTGTCAAATCGGCTCGAGCGTTGAGCAGCAGCAGCTAGATGAGTCGATATAGACTGGTTGTCTGGAAAACCTTTAGATGTGCTGCACGTCTGAGATAGACGGAAGTAACCGGGCACCGGAACACAGCCGTTATTGTTGCTAGATGGACATGAGTTCGGTGTCAGCCGCGAGTACGATATATCCTCTGTAATGGTGTCTTTTGGACACTTCTCAGACTCGTATAAGCAGTAAGAGTTTTCCTCTTTTATGGTAGGCGAGAACGAGCGTGGGGTAATTTGGCTGTTAGGCTGTTCAATGCGACAGGACCTCGACGTCTCCAGCCATGTTTCCATGCCTTGATATGGCCCACATGTAGCAGGTACTACATTTTGCGAATTGCCCTCGTTCCGTTTGAGTCCAGAAAAATAGCCACAGTTCGACAGTCCATAAGAATACTCTGAGCTCGGCTGCAAGTAGACTCCGCTGTTTTGGTAGTAGTGTCCACTTCCCTCGGCCCTTCCGTGGATCAAGGAGTCTACCAGAAACGAGTTGCCAGATGGACTATCGGAGCATGACATCTTTGTGGTATAATTTGACGGTGGAAGAAGATTGCCCTTTCTGGATGACATTTCTTGTGCAAAACATTCTGAATATAATTACTGATAACTATACAACTCGGTGCGAGCTAACAGCCAATTAAATCGCAACGAGCACCGATGACTCCTCCCTCTGTGCGCACGTAACCCTTGTGTCCCATATCTTTTTCAAGCAAGATTTTTTTAAAAGTCAAATCTACATTAACCTGATCACTCGTTTTTCGGAAACTATAAGCGAATAAAAATAGAATTCAACTTGCACAGCATGTTTACGATCACTGACTTCGTTAACTCTGACATTGCCGCTGAGCCTTGTGAGCCACGTATAAAACCAAAAAGCAACAAAGTATCGAAAAGGAGATCAAGTGCTAAAATTGTAAACCTTTATGATACTCTGTAATTGCCCCAACAGCCCTTTAAGCACATAAACAGTGAGTTACAGACTGCTCTTCTGGTTTTCATGCACGCGGTGGGTCAAAACAATTTATTTAGCTACACTCAAGTTCAAAACGAGAGGCGGCTTTCGGGAACACTCAATGTGAATTTCCATAGAATATTAAACATTTAGCATGTGATCATCTTGTTTAAGCTTTATAATTACAATACTGTTGTGAGACAAATCATTTTAAAGCTATAATAACCTATAGAGACAAATCTAACCACAAACCCATGGCATTTCAATAGCAATTCCGATAGTAATTTTAACGCAATTGTTGAATGTGATTCATCTTTGCCTATTTTTGACGTTCAGGGGATATTTCCATCTGAAAAGCAGCCTGTGTGTATGATGTCCGCAGTTGTAGGCTATGTCATTCGATTTGCATTTAATTGCAGGAAATCCAATTTTTTTTTTTTTCTAAGATTTGGGTTACTTTCCCTCCCCCTTTTTTCGGTTTATGTATCTGAAAATGTGGTTACTTTATTTCTGAACTTTTCTTTCAAACGATTTTTTAAATAGTCTACTCTGATATTTCCACAAAGATCCAGAGATAGGACTATTTTTATATGTCCATATAGCCTACCATTAATCGTCTTGTAGCTGAAATTAACATATTTCTGATAACAAGACGACCATGCATGCGCGTTTAAAAAGCGATATAGAACAATTGGAGGACTCCATTGAAAAAAATGAGACACCAATAAAAAGAAATAAACGAATTAAACTAAAAATAATTCTTGATAGTAAATTGGTGTCCCTGCTCCAATAATCATGTTTTGAATCACATTGTGGTATCTTAACGAGTGAAAATGTCACCATAATAGGCAGGCTTTTTATCGTTAAAAATGAAAATGAAAAATGAAAGTTAACCTTTTGAGATTCATTTTAATGATATAGGAATAGGCTACGTTTATTTAGATTACATTTATTACATTATATTTATTTAGACTAGGCAACTTTTTGTATCAGGAAATAAACGGGCATTGTTTTAAAAGTCAATGGAATTGTATAGCCTATTAATTAGCCAATCCAAACGAATAAAGAGATAGTAAAGATATTTTTATTTTTTATTTAACACATCAAACATAAGCCGCAAAATACGTCTTTTTATATTGCTTCTGGAATAAAAAAAACAACAACTATAGGCCATCAAGGTAGGCCGCACAAGAATCAAAACAGGTCTACAATTTCTCAAAATTAGCCTATACTTTGAAAAAAAAAAAAAGCTCTGACATCAGGAACAAAGTCAAACACTTTCGACTAATACAACTAGTTACAACTTTGTTTTTTTATGAAGTTTTTTTATCATTAAACTTTACATATAGGCTACGTTTGGAACATTAATGTGTTATGCTTTTAAAAAAATCAATAAACACAATGCTGACAAAGAAAAATATCTAAATGGTAGCTTGGCTGTATTTACCTGAAACAGTGCCTTGTCACGAAGATGTTGTCCTTCGCCCGCACACAAAGTAAACATGTTTCAGCAGGGATTTTAGATACCCGGCAATGACATTGATCTAAAGTGCGCCACCCAGTGTACATGAAGTGTACCGTCGGCACTGCGAAATAGTGAACAATCCAGTCGTGGTGCCATGATGGGACACTGAGACAAATGATGGCGGAAAAGTCCGTGAACACAAGCTTTCAATGGTTCCAGCCGTTGTTTTCTAGCTCTTAGTCACAGTTAATAACCTTGGTTCTCAGACGGTTTATGGCACCTCGCTCCAATTCTACAAATGCTCCAGACTAAGACTGGTTTTATGGCCGAGTTGCTGCAGCAACGGGGGGATGTGCCGTAATTAGAGCGAAATTCCATCGAGCCTCAAAGGATGCGCAAACCGTCAGGGTCATCGCGTAAAACAGTCCTTATTATCTTATGGTCGCCCAGGCTCGCCCTGGTTTATTAGACTTCCGAGTGGCATAAGCCATATCAGATTTGTGACCCTCTCGCAATGGATCATCGATATATTGATACAGGGAAACTGTAAAAGTAACGAGACTTGCTCATGCAAGACAAAATAACTTTCCTTAGAGTTTAATTCTCAAGAAGGTTTGTCTAGATTTTAGCTATACATGCTTTCAAAACAGCAATATAATACGAAGACTTATCTGGATGTTCGACATGGAACAATTTGTTGAAAGGCCATTTGATTCATGGAAACATACACAGCCATGTTTTTTTGGACAGTTCCGTAATGGATACTAGAGGCATTAATAACGGCAAACACTTGATCCTTGAATCAAAGAAAACGCGTGGAGGCAATATAACGCAAGATCCATCAAACATTTGATACTGCTCCAGGAAAAAGAGAGAAAACACGAGATATTTCAAGAGACTGATTTATATAACACTGAAGAGACGTCATAAACATGAGAGATTATTGTGAACATGAATGAGCTCCTGCAACATTAATATTTTTTTTTACACGTTTTAAAGAAAAAGGTGGAGAAAACACATAATTAAAATACAATTGAGGTTCGGGGTTTCTGAGTGACTCAAGCAGTGTCCGTGCTGGTTCAGTTATTGCTTTTGCATTAATGCCTAATATCTGTTGAAAAATAAATAAGAATTTTGCTCCTTTTTCTGGGACAATTTTTAACACAAGTGTTAAGTGGCTCGGTTTTACTGGAAAATGCGCAGTAAGACGAGTAATATCAAATATACACTTTAAGTTCACACAATTCAAGTATAAGAGAATAAAGCGCTCATGGTGAATTTAGATCACAATAATCTCATGAAATATGCGTCATTCAATGAGAAAGTTTTTTTTTTTCTAATAATATAGGCCTGTAAAATACAATGAACAGTACTTAACGGTAACACTTTATAATTAGGTTTCACTAGTTTACATGAATTAACTACTGGACTTCTACGGCATTTATGTTGATATCAGCATTTACTAGGCTACATTATTAAAAATCAAATGTTTTTCTTAATGCAATGTGAACTAACATGAACAAACAAGGAACGGTTGCATTTTTATAATTAACAAAGATTAATAAATAACAAATGTATTGTAACAAATGTATTGTTCATCATTAATTCGTGTTAGTTAATGCATTAAGTAATGTTAACAAATGAGACCTTATTGTAAAGTGTTACCTAGGCTATAACAGAATGAAATCTTTATGTCCACTAGTATTTATATCTCGCCCTCCCAAACATTATTTTCCATATAAACAGATTTCAAGCATATACTTACTGATATATGACACATATGTAAAAACTACAGATCTTGGAAAGATAATAATAATAATATCAAAAAAACAATATCCCTGTAAACTGAAGAGTCACTTAACTGAATAAAATGAAACATCATAATAATAGTTTTAAATTCAACGGTAAAGATTACAGAGAATATAAATGTATGTTTATGGATGAAAAAGTCTGTCAGAGGAATAAAGGTCGCATCTCCTCTGGGAGCCGGAATGTTCATCCACGAACTTGAAATTAACCATCTCGCCCTATAAATGATTCCGATCTAAAGCAAAGGGTTCGTGGTGTAATACTGCAAACGGTCTCTGTTTAGTTTTTTCTCTTTCATTCTTCTGTTTTGAAACCATATTTTGACCTGACGGTCGGTGAGGTTGAGCATCCTGGAAAGCTGTAGCCTTTTTTCTTTGTTGATGTAAACACTGAAGAAAAATTCTCTCTCCAGCTCTCTGATCTGATATTTCGTGTAAGGACACCTTTTTTTCCGTGTCTTCTGTCCATCTGAAATATAAAGAAGAAAGACAGTCAATGCCTTTGACATTTACATTTAAATAATTGCATAGAAATAATATAAAATTCAATTAAATGCTTACAGAAGAGACAACTGAATAGCTTATAATTAAATAGGCTATACACCCAATTGCCGTTTCCCCCCAAAAAAACTGTTGCGGTATCTAAAGCTAACTGTAACCTATAATAATTCAACGATAAATCGGTAATAACACATTATATTCTACATTCAGCTCTTAAAATGCTATTTTAATGAAATATCTAGTTCTACAACAATACACACTCGTGTAGGCTCATTTGATTATAATGGAGGCTTAACATTTAACCTTCTTTTCATTCACCACCAAAGTAAAAATAATAATAATAATAATAATAATAATAATAACCACGTTAGAAACTGAAAAGTTTAGCCTTTTAGTATTTAACGGAACAATACCAAACAAAAATGCTCTTTAAATTCCCTGACGTGCAACGTGCAGTCAGTGGCGATAAATAAGCACAGCATAGGCCTATATGATCTCTTAAATAACGCTGCATTAACAAATAGCCCGACTGTAATGAAGTCTTGAAAGCATGTTTTCGAAGACTCGAAGGGAAATGGCCTATCATTCACGGCCAATTTCAATTTCGAGCACGTGATCTCCCGTTTATAACAAAGTTTTGTTAGGGTAAATATACAGGGCCCTCTGTAAACCTTATATGCTTATAAAACAGCATATAAAACCTTTAACAACAGCACGTTACATCAGAAAGTTTCTCGCGCAACTGCTTGAATACGTACTGCCGCTGCTGCCGCTGAATTTCTCTTCGTTGTTACCGGAAGATGGCTCCGGGCTGCTGGTTTCTCCACACCGCTCTGCCTCCTCTGTTCCCCGGCAACTGTCGCTGCCTGAGTCCGCGGGCGGAGCAGGCGCCTTCCCGGTCGCTCTGTCCACCGGATGCTCGCTTGGCTGGTTTTCCACGTTCCCGTACGCTGTCTCGAAAAACTGGTCAAACGCTTGGGGAAGCACTCCGTTCCTCCCTACGCTGCTATGATACACGTTGGCCGAATGGCTCGTGTTGGAGTGGTAAAGAACCGAATTATTTTTCGACAGCATGTCTCCCAGAGTTCCAGGATTGGACAGGCAGTCCCTGTGCACCATGTCCTCGGTCGCGTAGCAATGTGGCAGATTGCCCCTCGAGTGCCACTTACCGGACGTGTCAATGGCATAGTCCCTGAAAGACACTTCTCTAACGCTCTGAACTTGTGGCAAACTGGACGTGGAGTATGAGTATGTCATGGGGCATGAAGACGGGGTCTGGGGCAGAAAAGGAGGAAGGCTGGAAAATTCCGTCCCAGACACGTAATAAGTACAGCCGGGCAAATACATGTTAGACCCAACGGGTACCCGCTCATCAAAATCCATCATGGCACTTGGTTGGGCACGCCACAACCATAGTACTGCCTCGCATCGTCGTACAGAAGTGCTTCAGCTTGACTGGCTTTGAAGCAGATCCGCCGAGCAGAAATTTTTGAGACGTGAGCTGACGTGGAGATCCATCTCCATCCATTCCAGAGAGCGCCAGTCATGTGACCAAGGGCAGAAATTGACATGTACCTCTTAGAATATTGTATGCCAACATGTGCAGATGTTCAAGTCGTGGAGTGAGCGATTCTTTCATTGATGAACGTGTGAATGCATTGGACCTCAGTTGGTTATGTTGACACTTTGGATTGCTGGAGAAACCCATTCGCATGCTTAACAGCCAACGCGCCTTACTAAACATTACCATGGTTTCTCGCGTTTATGAATTTGTTCTATTAAGTCTCAGACATCTCATTTCGCTGTAGCTCTCTCTCTCTCGCTGCATATAGGCTCTTAAAAATTAAGAAACCAGAAAGGAACAAAAAGGAGATTTCGCATGTGTAGAATTTTAATTCGCAAGTGAGGTTCTTGTTAATGAGAGTTGCATAAACCAAATCGAACATATGGTATGGCTGTGTGGGGGAAATAAAACAGAATTACGTTATGTTATATTTGCATTTATTTCACAATAGTCAGTTCAGAACAATTAATATCGACCAATTGGCCCAAGAATATATTACGCTTTTACTCAGTTGAAGCCCTTCTGAGGTTTTACTATATTTGGAAATTTAGATGATGTTAAAGCAATACAATGTATTTTTTTTTTTTTTTACAAAATGTGCCTTTGCATGAGCATGATGATGAGCTAAAATTATTTATAATCAGACTGTTCGAAATAAAGGTTCCAAAAGGGGTTTTCGCGGAGATTCAAAGAACTTCCCCAAATAACTTTTCAGTGAACTAGTCTTAAAAAACGTTGTTTTTTTAAGTGTGACGAACATTCTAAAAATACAAAGAGCCCTTTTCCATTATACCTTTTGTTGAATGGAAAGATTATATGGATGTTAATGGTTCTTCATGGAACAATCAATGCCAATAAATTACCTTATTTTTAAGATACCTTTGTTTTTAAGAGTGCTTCATAAAATTGCAATTAATTTTTGTATGAGTTTTAATTTTGACTGCAGATAATCCGGCTATTTAATTAATTACGTTCTTGTATTGTACATAAGTATTGTTTTAAGCGCATTTGGTTCAAACCTATACAAAAATTAGCTATGTTTTTTTTATTTGCTTCTTTATTTAAACATTTGCATTTCTTCAAGAACACAATTTACAATAAGGGTAAATTTGCGTTCTCCTGTGCAGAATTCATATAGCGTTTTACGCTTGCCAAAAAAATCTTTTAAGGTATAGTCTGTGTAAGGCAAGAGAAAGGCTGAATTTGCCCGGTTGGGCTCATGCAGTGAAGCGGCTTGAAACCACAGTTGAGGCCCATTAAGTTTTAGCTTATGGCCCCCTTAGAATTACTTTGGATTAAACCATGAACAATATCCGAAAATCTCAAAATACATCAATTTATGAACAAATAAAATAAAAAAGAGAAGAATGTAAAGCGATTGCATGTGGTCAACAACGAAAATGCGCTCTTTGTGAGAATGGTTCGCATTTTCCCTTATTGTCAACGCTGATTTCGTTGGTCTTATAGCTTTTAATGAGTAGCCTAATCTTGTGCTGGGAGGCAACAAAAACTAAAACCAGTCTAAGACAGACGTGGTTTTATGGTGCTTTTGGTATCTTCCTCTAGCCATTGTCAGCTCAGACAAGCCATGGCCGTCGGAGAGTGATCATGAGACGCCACCTACTTGGAATTCGTGAACTTCAATGAGACCTGAAGTCACGGGTAACAGTAGCATATTAAAGGGAGACAACGGCCCCGTGAGTTATATCTGGTGAGAGTCCTGTTTTTAGCTTCTTCCGGGCTTAAATCCACAAGATCAAATGCACGTATGTTGATAAGGTGATCATGCATGTTTCGGTTAAATATAATCTAGCTATTTATAGAGTTAAAATAGATGTCCTTAATTCAGTGTAGCGTTACTAGGCCCACGCCTGGCTCCATATTACACCAATAAATGATTTAACATTGCGTTTTGGCTTATTTGAGAGGTTGTGAGCAAGACCCTGATGGTCACTTCCACATAGTAAGTGGTAGTTTACAAATAGCCCAAACAGCACCCCGGATGAGGTTTCAAGGTTTCCAAGAGTGGGCTTGATTGAATCGCACGGAACTTTGGCATTTTCTTCAGCATTGTTTTTGACTCACGCGAATTAGGCAAATTACCGATAAACTTAACTTTTCGCACTGGATCAAGTTTGAGAGGCACAGTAATTGGTACAGTCCAAGCCAATTTGTCATCACTTCTACTCTGTGTTCGACTCAATCCACTATGCAAAGTTGTGGTTTTTGGATTTTTTAACAACCCAAGTCACCTCTGCAAATTTAAATAGTTCAATTGTCGTGTAAAAGCGCGGTAAAGCTCGCGCAAAATCCTATTTGGCAAATGCAGTGAATTTCACAACACTACTTTCAATTCAATGCGTTTAAAGAAATTTGTGGCCATACGAAGATCTTCAAATTGGTATAATCAAATTATGTTTTTGTGTTTAATGACGTCTTGAAAATTTGAGAATGCGAAGATTATAAATAGCTAGAAATGGCACTTTAAATTAATTTAATGGCATATTGTTATAAACGTGCCATTATATAACAAAATAATTTAAAATCGTGTTTCTAGCAAGAGTCTATATTTAAAAAAGAATGCATTCGACGAATATAGCCTAATCTTGCAAAATGTGTAACTAAGATAGGCTAATTAAAAAAAAAAAGAAACGATAATGTCATTTTGATGTGAAAATGGGATTTTAATGTCGGGGTGTCCTTCCGCTTTGATGAGAGTGTTGATTTGATTGTCTTTTCCCTGCATGTTTTGTCGCAGTGCAGTTGAGGGCCCACTTTTCATATTTACATGGGACTGACGTAAGATAAAGGCTTGAAAATGTAGGCTAATGTCCTATGTCTTTATACGTTTTTACTCTGTAACCACTTATGATTTGTGTGAATTATTAAAAATATAGAAAATAATCCCCCCTGCATTTGTTTTCTGATTCCTGACACATTGGCTGAAGAATGTTGGTAACGAGTGAACCTAAACCCAACCTTTGCCTTGCACTTGCTCGGTAAAGTTTGAGTGTCGACGTTGATGTCACGCTGACCTCTGAAAACAAAACAGTTTTACAGGGGACCAAATTTATCAGACCTGCATAGAAACCAAACAAGTGAAATAAAACTGTGGCTGAAAAATATGTTATGAACGGCCGTAATGCGCCCTTCACTGCGAAAAAATAGATAAAACGTTTTAAAAACCGATTAAAATAGCACACTTTCGTCTAATTTATGTTATTGAAACCTATCTAAATATAAAATAGCCTAGAGAAAAGGCGCGTTTCATAAATGAATGTTAGTATCAGTTGGCATGTCGGAATTTATAGTTTATAGTAAAACATATATAAAATATTTTAGTTTGGTAAACGCTTTGTTCGTCATCATCATTTTCGTTAAAAACGAACATTTTTCGTCTGTAAACAAAAGAGCACAAATTATGTAACTTTCAAAACTTTGTGTGCACCAATTGCATGCATCAGAATAATTAATTGATAATAATTAATGAATAAGAATGTTATTTGTAAACATTATATTTAGGCTATTTTCATAGCCTATCCATAGGCAAGCACCTAATGTTGAAATGTTTTGCATGAGAACTGGAAGAGATTTGTTGTCGTTGTTGTTTGTTATTTCAGTAAAGTAATGAGACATGCATCTGGTTGTGTGTTCTGGCATCGTCTTATACATTATCCTATATTTGTAAAACGAATATAGCATTTATATCGAAAAGTATGCTATATAAACACCAACCATTTTCTTTCGATAAGCTGAAGTTTATAATATCTAATATTTAGCAATGTTATAAGACATACGCAACAGCATTTGAATTGAATTTACACAGAGCATCCCCAATTTTGAGAACTACTGGTTTACAAAAATTGCATTTCTTTTAGTGCCTTTGGGTGGCAGCACAGTCCAAATTGAAATGTCCTTTGATACACTGAAACGCAAATTGTAAATCCCGTCCATATGGCTAGACCTATTTCTCTCCACGTTTTCCGTCTGCTCAGACGTTTTTCCAGACCGCCGCTCATAGGCTGCCTTCAGGTCCCACAAATAGATCCTGATCATTTATTTCGGACTATTCAGAAGCCTTCAGTGATATAGGCTACGAATTGCTTGTGCCATATTAACGACAAATTGCATAACGAATCTAAATATAGAAGTGTTTTTATTTTATGCATAATAGAATAGAATGAATGATCTGTTAATGAAACATTAACAATGTAGCCTAGGCTATAGCTTATTTGAAATGCAATTCAGTTCTGTAACAAACACAGATAAGTTGACGGTAGCAAAAATATTTCTTATATTCTTTAAATAATAATATTTTTAAAAAGTTGTGCAGAAATGAACTGCTGCTATGCCGTTTTCCAATAAAAACGTGCAGTAAAACATTGTTGCACGATTTCGAAAATGCAAAGATAACAAGCCAAGTACACAAAAATAAACTGAATTATTTATTATTGCATTTTCTGGTGTGTGTGTGTGTGTGTGTGTGTGTGTGTGTGTGTTTGTATTTTATTCTTATTGATGTCTTGGGGGCTTTGGTTTGCATTTAACTTGAGCAATTGCCACACCGAGAGTTTGTATTTGAAAATGCATGGGCAAGTGGCCTAATCTATGATAGCCATGTCTAATAGATTTGAAGTTAAAATTATTTGAAAAGACTGTCAGAAATGAATAATTTTGAAACGGGAAATGTTATCTCACAAATAATTTTATTCAGTTCACGCATTTGATCGGAAATTGTACGTGTGTTTATGTATTTTCTATTTTATTTATTTTAGGTGTAATTCCGTTTCCTCTGGAAGCTGATTTCAACGGAACTTTTTGTTGGTATTTATTATTTACGTATATATTTATTTATTTGCCTGTTCTTTTTTTGGTTTGTTTTAAAATGATGTCTATATAACATTGTACGTATTTGTTTGTTGTAATTCTAGAAGTACTCAGTTAAAACCTTATTTTGTAATTTTGTTTGCCTACCTTAGAGTGACTCCAAAGGCTAAATTGGGAGTCGTTTTATTTATTTATGTATTTATTTATTTAGCTTTGGCTAAATTGAGCATTGTGTGAAAAGGTTTATAGGCTACCACCAGGCATACTCTGTCTTCTGCATTTCACTCACTTATTTTTCCTTCAGATTTTTATTTTTGATAATGTTTTTCAGAATAAAGTAGCTTAAGTTGCATGTTGTAAGACACACACACAGTGATATTACCCCTACTTTACCTGTTTTTGGTATCCGAGTCACTGATTTTCAAGTCTTTAAAAAAAAATATATGCATACATATGTTTTCTGTAGAACCCGGTTCTTGACTAAATTTTAAAGAGCGCTCCAGGTTCTATAAGGAGAAATGTCTTAAATGATTGCATAATACTTTCATGTTTAACAGGTAATTTCGATTTTTTTCTAGTGATAAAAAATGCTATCTGTTTAATTCATAAAATATAATTAAAACAAAATTAATCAATTAATACTAAATCCACTAAAATATACCATGACGGGATCCACTAAAAGGTTAAAGATATGAAGCGCCTGGCAGAATATAGAATTCTGTAGGCCTATAACCTTTTCTTAAGTGTCAGATTTGTATTAAATTGTAGCCTATTATAACTTTTTGGTGCTTTGCTAACTATTAACTCAAACACATAAACCTAGTAGGCCTAATCGTAGATTTCGGATCTCAAATACTTCTGATGAGGAACAATGATCCAATTTCAGGAAGTCAAGGCAAATGCATATTCGTGCCACTAGATGGCAGCACTGTTACGCGCATGGAAACGGGTTATTGCAGAACAATTATTCTTTAAAAAACAGGGATTTGGGTAAAGACAACAATACCACAGCCATTACTCACTCATTCGTATTAGTAACTGATTATTCTATTTTTCTCATTATTTTCTGGAAATTTAATTAGCTATACAAATAGCTAGCCTACATTCAAAATAAATAGCCTAGATAGGCTTCTTGATACAGGCTATGTTATCACGTTTATGTTAAACATTTTGGCAAAAAAGAAGTTGACATTCGGAATAATTATAAAGATACAAATATTGAAATACATCACTTAAAATGGGGAGTTTTATTTGCATAGTGTCTGCAGTAACACATGCGAATTTGTATATTTCGCAGGTGCATGAAAGCGACTTTTTATTTACAAATGTGCGCATGGGTAAAAACAGAAAGAAAAGAAAATCTCGAAACAGTCTTGGGGTAAATTTAGTGTACAGTTGGCGCTGCATGCATATATACAGTCTGATAGGTTCAGTTGTTTTTTTATGGAAACGTGATGTGTACAAATAAAAAAAATACACGAATTGCCATGGTTTTGTCTGTTTACTTCACTGATTTTCGTTCACTGTGTTGAGTTGAATTTACAATCCTCCCACGTGTTTCTGTCGAAGCAATAGATTAAAAAGAATTTAAAAAAAAAATCAAGTGGTGAATATGGGTATATTGTTCTTGAGCAGTATCTTCGCTTAAACAAAGTCAGTGTATTGGCAATATGTAGCTACACATTATTTTCCCGCATCTCCGCATAATCTCGTGACGTGGAGCAGATGATGGAATGGATTTCAGAATAAATAATGTTGAAGGTCCTTCCATTTATACCGCTTTGGTATTTCAGTTTTACATTTTTCCCCCCCAAAGCCTAACTGATGGCCTTGTACTTGTTGACCACTTTCTTCTCTTTCACTCTCCTGTTTTGAAACCAGATGGTCACTTGTCGCTCGGTCAGGTTTGTGTGAGCAGATATCCTTCTTCGTTTGTCCTTAGTGATGAACTTATTTGTGGCATATTCTCGTTCTAGTTCCTTCAATTGAACCTTGGTGTAGGGAACCCGCTTCTTTCTCCCACGACGCACCGACGCTCCATCGGTCCCTGACACATTATCTAGGGGTCAGATCAAAGCCAATATTAGGTTTCTTGCGAAAACAGTATAAATATCAAATAATACAGCATATAATAATAAAACAAGCATTGCTGTGTCTCCAAGGCAGTGCAAACAAAAAAAATGCCTCAAGTAAAACATGCACAAATAAAAATAAAAACATAGCTTAAATTCATTAAAAAAAATTGTATTCATGAAACGTGACGGGAATTACCTATACAAAATGTAGACCATGCATTACTTTTTAGATTAAGAATTTCTAGTAGCCTAAGCTCCTGTTTTAATTGATTTGAATCTTCTTACAAATATGAACAAACCTAACCGTTGGTTTACATTTTTTAAATAAACATTTTAAACCCAGTGGTTATCCATAAATAACCCAAAACATGGGTTGAAAAGATCCAGCATTTTAACAGTGTAGTAAAGCTCAATTTTACACTGTAAAAATATATATACACTCTAAAAATGCTGGATTGTTTTAACCCAATTTTGGGTAAAAAAATGGACAAACTCAAACATTTGGTTAAAAATTTAAAGTAATTTAAAAATGTAACCCAAATGGCTGGGTTTGTCCATATTTAACCCAAAATTGGGTTAAACAACCCAGCATTTTTGACAATATATAGTTTTACGTTGCTTTAACTCATTAAAATAAGTTAAGCAAATGTAAACTTTTTGTGTTATACGAGATTCAACTAATTTTTAAAGTCAATTTAATGTAATTACGTTGAAATGGCTTAAACATCCAAGTTGATTGTACTTAAAAAACTAAGACAGCAACTTTCCCACCCCTCTCACGATAAAGTGCAGCATTTTTACCTTGAATAGACGATTTCCATAAGGTTGTTGACTGTGTTTGGTCTTTCGGGCAGTACACCGGACTACTCCACCCGTTCGTTATAGCCCAGGGCTGGTAGGTTTCAACAGGCAGAAGAGACTCGTGTCTCGGTTCCGCAGGGCCGCTCAGGGCAGGTACGACTGGCACGTCGAGATAACTCGGTACAGGCTGGTAAGGGCCAGACGAGTAACCCTGGTAGAAGGCAAATTCCTTAGCACGAGAAGGGAACTCCTCTCCAGAAACAGACGTGTCCATGTATTTTTCCCCATAGGAGGTGGGCTGCGGACAGGACTTGGGCATCCTACACGGGTAGTAGCTGCCGCCAAAATATCCATAGGGCAAAGACGCACTGGGAGAATTCTGCACGGCCGAACATGGACTGCATTGTTTGACGGGTTCTCCCATGCCCGACCCTGGCACCTCACTCGACGAGTATGTGCTCGGGGCCAAAGAAGACGGGTGGGCAATAAGATTCCTGCACTGATTTGCAGCAAAATTGCCTCCCACAAATCCTTCCATGTTTTTGCTCATATCATCCAAGCCGTTGTCATAGAGAAACATCACCGGGTCAATCCAGCGGGAATGGAGGAGTAAAGACGCTGTCATAGCACGCCCTACATGGAGCCTAGCAGCTCTTTTAGAATTCCCCAAGACTGAAAGAGAAGCAGTGGATCGGTGGAGTAACAGATACCCATGCGTCCCGTGTGCGTCAAGATCCAACTATTATTGGACGAGCGGAGGCACGTGACATGCAAAGAGGCTGATAAACGTCTAAACTGGAGATAACGCCGATCTAGCAAGACAAACATACTGCTCTGAACTGAGACAAAGTGGAGGGATTTGGTCAAAAATACCTATAAAGATTCTGATGATAAGCTTTATCCTAAAGAGGAAACCAAGTGGCATTCCATTGCGCAACGGCACTGCATTTTACGCACCTCCATATCTAACCATTTTAACAGTAAGATTATTGCAAATTCGTAAATACCACATTTTCATACGGGCTACTATTAAAATACAGTTAACAGTAATGAAAAAGATAACGCGGATTGAGTAATGTAGTTGGTGCGTTTCAAACACCATCTATTTTGTAGTAACATGCCTGCAACTGTTTTGGTTTATTATACTATTGTTGTTATTTTAGAAAAGCTATCATTTCTTCAGTCTAATTTTTGTCTTCCAAAAATATTGATCTCGCAAATTGGAACAGGAAAAGTCTTAAAGTGGCTATTTTCGTTCTTTCCTTTTTGCACCGCTACAGGGAACCGTCTCTGTAATGCCATCGACTATTTCGAGCCCATGAAATTGTCAAATAACAAATCACACTTTATGAAAATGACCACCAGTTTATTACTCCATACAGCTAGAAATCCAGCCCACAATTTGGCAAGCCTCGTTTACATATGAGTTGCTCACGGCTGGAGGCCAAGGTCAAGTTGAAAGTTGCAGTCTAGCCAGGGCCCTTGTTGTCACTGAAGGCTAGACCGTCTGGCAGGAAACGACCATCTCCGGGTAAATTGTAAACAGGAGCACACAGGTATTACAGTGCTTGTGTTATTATTTATGCCACAGATTCAGCATTAGCGTCTCTTGATCAATGTTTCCATACAGTTCGGGTTATTTGTTGGCAGAGGTCTGGCACTGCTGGAATTAAATAGAGAGAAGAGTAGAGAGTGGCAATCAGTCTTCGTAGTATACCCTGTTATTGCTATTTAAAAAGAGTTGCTGTCTTCATTTTTTAAGTAGCCTATAATCAACTTGGATGTTTGTCATTTCAACTTATATGAACATAAACTGACTTAAAATGAGTCGGATCTTCTATAACATAAAAATGTAGTTAAAGCAATGTAAAAAACATATGTTGTCATAACTTATTAATAATATAATGTTGTACAATATTGTTGGTTTAACTTCAATTTTAAGGCAACCAAGTTGCTTATTTTTTTTAAGTTCATTGAAATGGAAAGATTTAGTTAATACAATGAAAGAGTTGATTTAATCATCAGAAACTCAAAATATTATGTTATCTGAACTACATAAATGATTAAGTGGATTTGACAAAAGAAAAAATGTTGTGATTACAAATCATGATTTTTTTTTTACAGTTTGTTATTATTACACATTTGTTTGATACCTAAAATTTGTAAGTACAATCAAATTGGGTGTTTTAAGTCATTTCCACTTAAATTACATTATGTTCACTTTAAAAATATGAGTTGTATAATTGATTTAAAAAAAGTTATAAACTTATTTTAGTTTACTAGGAGTTAATGTTAACTTTTTTATAGTGCTGTTATCATCATAGTAGGAGACTATTATTATTATTATTATTATTATTATTATTATTACTGTATGTTATATATTGTTACCTCAATAAAAATGAAATAAAAATCCCATAGGATTCATTATCGGTCTTATTTCATTTATTTAAGTCTATTTTCAAATCAGTTTTCTTCTTAAATTAGCACCTGTGAGCGTGAACCCAAAGAGTCTAAAATTTTCAAATTAAACATGATACATTTTTAAACAGAAATTTTCTTGTTGCGATTAAATTAATAAACACCCTTAATTTTGGAACGATCCTTTAACAAATAGCCCATATTTCCACCTAATCTGAGAAACAGCTAGTGAGTCGCTTACAATAGCTCACAAACTGTCACTTTCATGAATAATATATCAACCTCAAGAATAGTCTACTGCAGGAGGCTACAATTAGATATGGTGATTTCTTTTAAGAATATAGGTACATTTAAAATGACTATTATGCATTCAGCATAGCTGTTTGTTAGATGCACAGATGAAGAAAGAAAAACAAAATCAGGTCATTTTTAGTTACCGAGGGGCAGCCGTTTGTATACGCTACAGCAAAGTAAAGTACACAGGAAATAAGCTCGCTGGTGGCGTGGAAACACGGGCATGTTAGGCGCCAAGTCCCTATTTGATCTTTTTAAGGTTTCTTGAGCTATTAGCGTTCAGTGGTGTCCGACCCTCTCACAATAGCTGAACGGTGTAAAGACAAAGTCATCATGTAAACAGGCGGATGTGAGAATTGTTGGTGCACAGACTAAACCCAGAAGATTCGATGGCGATGGACAGCTACATTTAGCCTACCTCGAATTTTGAGACAACCGGTAATGGGCTACATTATTCATCAACATCATTCATAAGATGATGTTTATTAAAAAGAGATGCTCCACTAGAAGAAGAGAATTGGGATAGGCTAATTTAAATTATTGCATGCTATAGGCCTACTCAATCAAAGAGCATATTAAGATTATGTTTATTAAAAATAGATGCACTGATATTTGTGAGATTCTGTAGACAATTGGAATTTTGTATAATTTAAATCATGTGGATCGCAGAACATGTGTGTCATCGGAAAAGTCTTTAAACAATTTAAATAACGAGGCTTGGATCTAATTTCCTCTCAAAAACATGAGCAAAAATTGGAACTGAGTGAACTATAGCTTATTTTAGACAAATTTACAAAATGTTAATTTCAGGTTCTAAACGAGTTAGCCTACTTTTATTAATCTTCTGCAAACAATCATGAAAACCAATGTAGGCAGAGTCAGGACTGCTGTATAAAAGTAAATATTTGAAAGGCACGACACCTTCAGTTCTTATTTTGTACACTAGAACAGAGGCTTTAAATCTCATGGTGTTACCTGTACATATTCAGACAATTTCACACACTGATATTGCGAACAGGTAACTTATTTAATTATTTATAATAATAAAAAACACTTAATCAGATGTTCGTTCAACGCGGTTTTACAGTGCACGCAATCTTTTAAAATTAGCTAATGGAAATGTTCAAAAATGTATTTTATAAATTGAAATAACGGCATTGGTTCTTGAATAGCTACTTATAGCCTAAAACACAGGCAGAGCAATCCTATTAATGTAGCCTAATTGATAATTAATTATCCTAATTATTAATTTAGGCTACTTTAACCGATTTAATATCAGGGTCATCTTTTTCTGACGTTATTGTTGCATTGGAATTAAATTAAATTCATATTTACAGGCATATTGCAATTCTATTTTTCTATATTAAATTCTATTTTCTATTATTAAATGTAACATTTTCATCAACGTCACGAATTCGATGCAATTAACCGGATGTCCAGAGTAGGCTAATATGGAATTATTGCTCCCTTTACCGTTCTGATCAAATATCGCCAACCATCTTTATTACGCAATAATGCACGTTACCTCAACGAATAAAAAATAAAGAAAATGTATATTTTAATAATCTATTTTGTGTGTTGTCTCTAAGCAAAGATCGTATAAAATTGGTTAATGTTTTAATGAAATCGTTCAAAGAAATTGTTTTATTGGCACATCATGATTCAAAGTCCAAACATCCATCACATGCATAATTCTCTTTCTCTGAAACCAAACAGTTTTATTTGTGTGTGTGTGTGTTACACGTGTGTAGCACAACATAGCAGCGAAAAAAGTTGACTAAATATTTTCATTTGTAGCTTACTCTTTTAAGTTCCAGTTCAGACAATACAATTGTTGCGTATAGTGTCCCTAAATATGATTAATTATCCAAATAAAACGTTTTTAATAAACTGGTCAATGGAAACTGTAGCTACAGTAAGCTATGTTTTTTTCCCCAAGGTAATATTTAATTTACAAGCAATTTATTTATTTTTATTTATTTATTTATTTTGTATTTTTTGTTGTTGGAACACAATAGCTATATGTGAAATAATAACAAAATGCCATGTTTAGCCATGGGCTAAATATAAAGGCAACGAGCCATCTTGTAAACACACAGGTCTTCTCAGCTAAATATCTCTAGCTACACTATTGTGTTTCTGTTTTCCGAATTATGAAGCCTGTCTGTTCTAAAAATAAAGTGATGCCTTTCTTCAAGTAGTTAAACCTAACAACTTCACATTATAGCCTACCAATGGGGCCTATAGCTACTCAAACTAGGCTATATAGCTACATATATATTTCAACCACACCTGGCGCTCGTGTCAAGGTCCACACAATTATCCTTATTTAGAAGACATTAAACCTACTGTACTTATTTCTACCAGATGAAAAAGAAAATTAAATCAGACTATTTGTTAAAGGTTTGAGAGTTTTTGAGAACTCGTAGGTCATTCAACATAGCGTGACAGCTTTTGAAGGATCTCATATGTATTATTGAAATTGGTCATTGCAGTAAGCATATTTTAAAGTAGCTATTAGTATTAGTAAACTCACCTCCTGAAAAAAAAAATGTTTTCGGTGTAAAGGTACAATTACAATTCAGACTACATAAAGAATGCACAAACTTAACGACAAAAGGCATCGTTAAGAGCCATTGCATCTCTTAAGAGTTTACACCTGTTGGATATTTTTAGAAACACGTATTATGCAATCAATACACATTTAAAGTAGCCTATATAGGCTACCAATGAATAAAACACAAAAATAACGAAACAGGGATTGATTTGAGATGTTACAATCGACGCAGAAGATGAATGTGTGTTATTCACCACCACGTGTCTGAGCCCCGGCAACAGACGAGAAAACTAGTCTAGAGGAATATTTGTTCGAATAAAAAAAGAGCACAAGGAACAACAGTTAGAAGATAGGTAAATGTTTCATTTTAGAAATTATTTACCTTCTAAGAAAAGCCTGAGATTTTTTTTTCTTCAGGTGTTTCAATGACCAGAGAAATGACCGTTAAATGGTTCAAACCGGAATGGGATACCAGGTTTTGGGCTGTCTGAAGTCTACCCCATGGTCCTCTGTTTGTAAGACCTGCCAACTAGATAACAACACAGCACTTAGGCCTCCATGCTTAATGGACTTTTTATGGGTTTGTCCTGTGATCATGTGACCTCTAGCATTATGTCCTCTCTGTGGCTCTTAGATCAGAAACATACCACTGACTGCATTTTGGAAACTGTTAAGGCAAAAGTGAGTGTGAAAAGAAGCAAAAGACAATGAGAGAATATGAGGCGGCAAAGAAACGTTCTCAGGGTGAAGGTAAAAATAGGAGTAAAGGAAAACAAATGAACAAGTGAAAGGTCATGTCTCTTGACTGTATCATTAGCTTCATGCAACTGTAACCAAAGCCAGCTGGGGCACAAGACAAATATCACACATTTATTTATAATTGGACAAATAATTTTACTGGGTTCCAAACCTTGAAATTCACAAACTCTAATCCATTTAGTCTTTGAAACACAAAAGATGATTTCTTTTGTCCACTCAATGAAAGTCAGTGAGGTCTAATGTTGTTTCAACATTCATCATACAGACAAAAACAGCTTCAAAAAATCTTCTTTTGTGTTCCACAAGAAAAAAAAAAAACAGGTTTGGAACACCATGAGTGAGAAAATAATAGAATTTTTTATTTTTGAGTGAACTTTCCCCTCAAGTTCAACAAAAATATTACAATGTCCTTGATGTGCAAAAGATCCCTAGTATTTGATGACTCATCTTTATTGTGCAATGTGCATGTTATGTGCCACAGAATTCAAGGTGAGGCTTCATAAAGCATCAAAAGACATTCCACGGCATGTGACCTTGAGGAGACCAAATCAAATGTGCTGTGTTGAATAACTTTCAACTGGTTAGCTACATTCATTAATTGTAAACCTGGCTTAGTTCTCTGGCAATACCCCTTCAGTTTCTAGGCTTTTAAAACTCTTGGAGTTTATGAACAAAATGAAACATTGGTGTTATGTGAGTGTGTATTCATGTATCAACACGCCACAGTCTTAAACGTCAAATCAACAGATTTTTTCCTGCTTTAATTCCCAGGTGTTTTAAATTTACATGAGTACGATGTAGATCCAACACCACTTACAATTACCAACAGTAGCCAACCCCAAATATGACTCAAGACACATTGAGAACTAAAATTGTACATATGCAAACCGGTTTGCTATCAGAAACCTTTAAGGAGTGTCATGGCTTGAGTGTTTGTGAATGAAATGATAAATTTTTAATCTTTCGTTAACCTACATAACAGGTAAGAAAAAGTCAGAACAAAACTTCAATTCACAGCATCTGATTAATTAATTGGTGGATTACTAATTGTACATGGTAGGCCCACATGAGTAACATAATTCCACTTACAGCCTAAAACAAACCAGTACAAACACACAGTCTTTTCAATCTACACATGTATTAATTCATTCACTCAATCATTCATGGCTCCCAGCACATGCATGTCAATGAAATCACATAGTTGGGTCAAAGTTTTGCAAGTCAGGACATGTGCAAGGCAGGTAGTGCTGGGTAAGGCTGTGGAAGGGGCATAGAGTGTTGCCATCTACTGGCCCTCCTCTTCTCGTAGGAACTGGAAGACAGATGAGAAGTCTTTGTTGGCGTAGCCACGTGCGCACATCATACGGTAAATCTGATGGGCCAGAGAGCCCAACGGCACTGGGGTCTTTGTGTTGGTTGCTGTATTCTGAGCAAGTCCCAAATCCTGAAGATAAATGTCAGAAAAAGTCAATGAAGGACGTGCATAACTACACATTTTAAAAATTAACTAGCAAGTAGGTGGCCTCGATTGGATTTCCCATAAGACGCATTCTTGCATAAAAAAAAAAAAAAGATCCTGTTTGAGCAGAATACGGGATCGACACAATTTGTAAAAAGTAGACCAAGTTTAACATGTCATGTTAAACAGTGCTTAAAGGATTAGTTCACTTTTGAAAAAACTTTTGCTGATAATTTACTCACTCCCATGTCATCCAAGATGTCCATGTCTTTCTTTCCTCAGTCGAAAAGAAATTTAGGTTTTTGATGAAAACATTCCAGGATTTTTCTCCATATAATGGACTTCAATGGGAACCGGATGGTTCAAGGTCCAAAAGACAGTTAATAACTGTTTCAGATGCAGCTTCAAATGTCTTTAAACGACACCAGACGATGAATAAGGGTCTTATCATGCGAAACGATCACTTGTTTCAAAACTTATTCCAAAAATGTAACTTTTCTAAGAACAAATGCTAGCCTTGCTCTATTCTGTGAGGCGCGTTTGCAACGTCACGTATTACGTAACTACGTTCAAAAGGTCACTGGCGACATAACCGAAAGTACAGAGTCAGTGTTTACAAGTTGAACGCATAGGTTGAACGTGCAAACTAGCTCAAACACCGTTTACAAAAAAAGGAATTAAAAGGAAAAACAACGATGTCGGACGATTTTGATTCTGTACTTCCGGCTACGTCGCCAGTGACCTTTTGAACGTAAGTACGTAATACGTGACGTTACAAACGCGCCTCAGAGAATATAGCAAGGCTAGCATTTGTCCTTAGAAAAGTTACATATATATTTATATATATATAAATTTTATATATAAATAATATTTTTTCTTCCTAAATATACATGCATGTGTGTGTATTTATATATATATATACACAAAATAATTATACACAGTACACCCACATATATTATGTAAACACAAACTTTTATTTTGGATGCGATTAATCGCTATTAATCGTTTGACAGCCCTACCTAATACCAGCGTTTGTTTCTTGTGACAAACAAGCCGAGAAGCAAGAACAAGATCTACTGCATATCATCCATTGTTGTTTACTATGTCGCTTTCTTCGCGCGAAAATGACGTTGATCGCTTCTTCCGGCAAACACCACGCCTATCAAGTAAGGGTACCGTTGACGGTGTAAACGCAAACTGGATCATGGTTTATCGACCCGTACTGTACCGCTTAGTGGAAACGAGCTATAAGCGAGACTACACTAAGCTCAACATTGGGAAATATGATAAAATAGCATGAATGACACTGATACTGTAAACCAGATGAATTTAAAAGGTGAACATTTCCCTAGTTTTAACTGTGAAAACAATACACAGTACGCAAACAGCACCACCTCTAAAATGATCACAAAAAGTTAATAAATGTTTTTATATTAAAGCAAACCTTGGCCATTAGTGTAGTTCCAAAGCCACCCTGGTAGTTGTTTGCTGAGGGCACTCCCTCCATCACTCCCGGGACAGGGTTGTATGTGTCACTTGACCAGCAGCGGCCAGAGCTCATGTTTAAGATCTTTGCAAGAAGCTTCGGATCAAGCCCTAATCTGTGATTGCACAAAGTAATCTCCAATAAATAATAAAAAGAGGCTAAAAAGTAGAAAATAATTCAATCTGTAGCAAGAGTAACAGCATCAAGATAGCTGTATTATTGAAGTCATTAACTGAATCAAGTAATTCAACTGTAAACTACACCTGATTCCCAAGTTCATGGTCTCTGCTGTTCCAATCATCCCAATGGCCAGCAGCATATTGTTGCAGATTTTAGCTGCCTACAAACAAGGAAGAAAGATTATGAACCCCTGGGCAGCGTAAACCAGCACCTTTCCAAGAATGACACTATATTCTTTATCACATCCTGTTTGTACCTGTCCAGTGCCAACCTGGCCGCAGTACACCACATTAGCGCCCATGCAGGTCAGAAGCTCCTTGGCTGCAGTGAACTCCTCCTCTGGCCCACCCACCATAAAGGTGAGCTTACCTGAATTAGCAGCACCAACACCTGAGAAAAACAATGCAAATCATTCATATTACACCTAGGCCTGGTTTCACAGACAGATTAAGCCAGGAGTAAGCCTGGCTTAATCTGGATCAAGATTGGATAAAAGGATAAATACTGGATTTAGATTAAGGTATTTCAATTGGGGTATATACAGTAGATCTAGACTAAAAATTCAACTAGGGTATTTACAGTTTTTCTCAATTGTTTACACACAAATTCTGGTACTTGAGACACAATGACCACAACATGTAACTCATTCACCAACCCCCTGAACCAATTCTGATGAACAACAAGCACAATTCCTGCTTTACACTCAAATTGCAGCTCTAAAACACACTTTTTTTTCAAAACACTACACACAATTCTCTGCATTTGGCACAATTTTCATGCAGAAAATCTGTTCTTTTCATGAGGAACACACTACCATTCAAATATTCACACTGACTCGTCACATACACAAACACACGTCAAACAGTTTTACAATTAGCAATCAGAGCTTTAGCATAAAATACCAAAACCGAAGAGAGGATGCAGCATAGATTTTTACTGTAAAAGCATAAAAAAAATTTTTTCTGTAGTTTTGTATGTGGACCACTGTATGTGCAACTTTGTTGAATGTTTTTGTGAGAATGTATTTGTTACCGTGTATTTGTGTGTTCTGGGTATAAAAACAATATTCTCAAATATTTTACAACACACTTATGTATGTAATGTCTGTAGTAAGTGTAACCCTGAACAAAAAAGGCCCAATTCATTATGATGAATGGAGAAGAAGTGTTTTACATTGAGCACATCAGTGTTCAACTGGTTCTTATAAATGTCTATTCATATGATGGTTTGTGTGTGTCATTTGAAAACAAAATAACATTTTGAGAATATATAACATTGTTTTGAATGCAAAGTTTCATTTTGCACTAGAATTGAGGGGTTTTGCCGATTGTGTGTGTGTTTTTAGATTTGTGTGTAGAGTTCTGAGAGTATGAGGCATACTTGCAGGAAATGTGTGTAAACAATCGAGAAAAACTGTAAGTAGATTTTATAAATGTGCCTAAGAGAAAAAACAAAACAAAAAAAACACAGGAGTTCTTTAGCATCATGAAAGTTTATTATCTGCATGCATTTTAAAATCTAAACTTAAAACCATGTATGGTTTTCTGAGTGCACACATCTGAAGCACACGCACAGGGATCTTGCTGTCAGGCGGTGCATCCCGTGAATATTAAACCAAGTTATCGTTCACAACTTATTGCTCAAAAACAGCTGAAACATTCTTCAAACAGCTCCTTGAGTTCTGAAAGAAAAAGTCTGTACAATGAGGGCGAGTAAATGACGCCAGAATTTAAATTTAGGTGGGAACAAACCTTTTAAACGGACAAACAAGATACACAGGAGAGCATTGTAACGTATACAATAGATGTGGAGATTTGCATAAGTGTCAGTGAAATGGCCAATCAGAGAATGAGAAAATCACCTGCATGAAGTGACTTAATTATCTGATAGTTTCCACATGTCACCAGTAACCCGTTTTAAGCCTAAAACTTTGAGAAGATGCAACACGATTGAAGTGCCATAATTACTCTTAGAGAGGAAAGTTCTATAAATACACAAGCACTTCGCCATCTGCTGTGAACACAGACTCGCATGACGTCAGGGACAGTTTGTTGTGGCTCACGTTTCATTAAGCCTCCTTCACAGGCGCTAACATGGAGCTCAGAATAATGTCTGGAGGGTCTAAGTAAAGAGAATGAGCAGGTCTGTGGATTTCTTATGACTATATCACAAACCAAGAGCGGGTCCAAAGGTATGTTAGCCAAACCCCACTGACGCATATGAATTGGGAGAGGCAACAATTTAAGGAAAGCAAACTAGAAGCACATTGTTTTTATGTGCCCAAAGACCAGAGGGAACAACTTCCTGATTAAAAAGGAGGATCGTCATAAAGCACAAACTAGCTGTTGAGTGAGTTAAACATTTCTTGTAATGCGACGACACATGCAGTTTTCACACCTCAGTCAAGTTTATAAGAGGCACACAGAATTGAACAGTGAGGAAAAGTATGTGTACAGTACATCACACTACTCAGCCAATTCTGATTGCTATTTAAAGTTCATATGAATGTATATTACCCTATTTAAAGAATATATTCGTTTATATATAGCCTCTCTGAGCCTTAAACGTTTCTTCACAATGGAACCGAGTCTACATGCTTTCGGGGCTCTTCCACTGCATCAAATTTATAGAAATCATCTTTTTCTTTATATTACAAAAGCATAATGTTTTGTTTTTATTGCGAGTGTACTATACACACATTAAAACAGACCCTTGGTCTTAGGCTGTTCAGTGTTCACACCATAGATTATTTGTCTTTGTTCCAAAAAAGGGACTTAATTTGTTACAATGTTGCATTTTCTTCTTGGTTCGGTTCAATTTTACAAGGCAACCTTTCAAAGTGTACCAAAATGTGTTTATCACATATGAGTACAACTGTCCTCTTATTGGTCAGCATTTCCTCTGCGTCATCCATCAAGATGATTGACAAGTTCGCTCCATGAGTTTAACTTGGCTTTATTTGTAACTATCGAGACACTTAAACACTATACGAATGTAGCCATTATTACCGCTGTTAAATTATATACTACATTCTTATCATGGAATCAAAATCATGGAATTGTGCCGATTTGTGTCGAGGAAGTCTCTCTACTACAGTCCAATGATGAAATACGGGTGTCCAGGGAAGCCTCGGGTACCACTTCATTCGATGTCTACGCATGGAAAAGTGAAGTAGACGCACTCGCACATCTTTCCAGCAATTTCTTGAAAAAGCATAACACTGAACTTTGCATCTGGCATTGTCACCGCAGGTTAATGAACTTTCACTGCACAAGTTTTATTTTTCATTATTCTACTCATTTTGTACTTTAACACAAGATATCCTTTTCAGTTTTGTAGCTGGTTGGGTCCAAATACCTTTTTTTTTTTTTAATCAGCCCTACAAAACATGCTTCATGCTTAATACACTATGAGTATGACTGATCTGTACCAACTACCAACTGACTAAATGCTGCTAGGTGGCACAAAATGTCTAGGTGGCACTACTGTCTACTCTGTTCAAAATAAAAATAAAATAAAAAAAAATAACCAAGGTGTTGGGGATTTCTTTTTTTCCCATTTTACCAAACTTGTATCAAACCATGACCCCAAAACCGAGGTACATACCGAACCGTGACTATATAATAGGCTATATTAACCCCTAATAGGCACTTACTAACGTTAAAAGAAAATACAAAAGGCTTTTTTTTAATAAAAACCTATTCATTTTGATCTTTGACTGTAATATGTGACCAAAGCTCATCCCAGGGAGACACCCCCCTCCTCTCTAACATCTTTAACTCTGCCAAGCATAGATAGTCATACGATGCCATTTCCACCATTGCACTGGATCACTCATTTAATTCTGGGGCTCTCACTGTCTTAGAACAATCCTGCTGACCAATGTGATGCATACCATAATAACAGAAAATACACCTTTTGAAACATTTGGTATTTGGGAATTGCCACCTAATAAGCCTAATAACAGCAACTAATAACATCCATAACTTATATCCAAAATGGTTTGACCAGGTACCCATCTCCAGCTGGCATTTCCAATGATCAATTATCATTATTATGCAATGCATAATGTTTCTGTGACTGTCCAAGGCATGTGAATGAGGTATGCGATTGGCTGTCGGTTGCTAAGCATCTAGTCAGTTTGGCAACGCAATGCATTCCTGCTCCTGAGGTAAAACGCGGTGCTAACCCCGTTTCTGAATTAAAAGTGTGAAACGATCCCTTACTTGGTGTTAAAGGGATAGTTCACCCAAAAATTAAATTCTATCATTAATAATACTTAGTCACCCTCATGTCTTTTCAAACCCGCAAGACTTTCATTCATCTTCGCAATTGAATGAACCAGCAAGGTTCATTCTCATGTTACAGATCAATCTGTCTAAAGTCTAAAAATGTACAGAAATAGAGGATGTTCAAGCTTTGCCTTGATGAAAGTCAACAGTTGTGATGTAAATCACTGCTAGTGCCAATGAACGCCTCAATCTCTCACCAACAATGCAAAGTAAGCAACAGAATAACTTCACAACATTCAAAGATTGAGAAAAATATAAAGGAACTACTACTTTTGCGTGATAAATCAAATGAACGAACATGATAACCAAACTGTTAAAGCAACTGGAGAAACAGTTCTTTCCAAATACCGTTTAGTTTATAATTGCCCCAACAGTTTGAGTGTAGAAGTGGATATCCTCAATTCAGTGTAGTAGGAAAGAAAGCAAAGGCATAAATCTCAGTCAAAGCAACTAGACAAGGATGCTCAAAGAAAGCTGGTCTCATGAGGCTACAAAGTGGATGGAAATAAAACTAAGGCTTGAATCATTCTCTGTCCAGTTAATTTCACTTTCCTCAGTTCACAAACCTCACTGCTGCCCTTATTAATCAATACCTATATTTATGAAACTCAGTCTACCTGTCTTGGTAACGACATGTGCCAATTTGCCAAACAAAGGTTTTGTCCTATTCAATTGTTTAGGTCAAAATGATCTTATATTGAATTTTGAAGAATGTAGATCTGCACAGATACAGACAGTGTGTACAAATTTGCAAACTAAGTGCTATTCTTCACCATCTTACACTGTAAACAGAATAGGGTGTTCACACTGAAAATTATAAAAATTCAAAAACCCAGATGCACTTCCAGGCTAAAGAACAGTTTTTTTCTCAGGGCCATCACAGAATTGAACAATCATGCTCCTCCACCCCCAAGTTGCACAGCTGCACTTTCTAGATAGGGATTTTATGCAATAGGATGTGTTTTAATATATATATATATATATATATATATATATATGAAGAGTTCAGATGCAAAAGCCTCTAAATGCCATTTGAAATTTTCTTCTTTAATGATGATTTTTGTCAAACTTGTATATTTAAGTTCAGTAATTTCACTTAAATAACAATTAATAGGTATTTATCATTGCCATTTAAGTGAAATCACTGAACTTAAATATACAAGCTTGATAATAATGATCATTCTAGAAGAAAATGGCACTTAGAGGCTTTTGCATCTGAACTCTTCATATATATATTTTTTATTATTTATTTATTTATTTTTTTATTTTATGAGTGTGTTTGTGAAAGTGAGTGTTTTAGAGGTTGCACAAGCAAATTTCGTTGTATGGTACAACTGTACAATGACAATTAAAGTCCATCTATCTATCATTTGAGCACAAAACGAAATGTGGAACGAACTGTCATAGATTTCCTTGTGTAGCAAAAGGGGAGGGGCTACCAGACTCCAGGCCTAACTAACCTCATAAAAATTCATACACTAAACAATAGAGTATACAGTGCATAGTAAAAGTGCATAGTGTATAATATTTGGGAAACAACTACTAGAGTCTATTCCCCCCATGCCTGGTCAGAAATACAAGCATGGACAAATCCAAAAAAATCTGAAAAGTTTCCTATATTCCCTATAATTGTTTCCTATATTCCCTATAATTTTATCCTATATATGGTTTCTAAAATGAGTCTTACATGAGAGATAACCGCATTAGTCACTGATTTTCAGCACTTGTCTCCATCTCCACCATAAGTTGAGGTCATAAGATCAATTCCCAGATGCTGACTTTTGATTTAGTCTATAACTCAAGGAGTCCACACCAATGGCTGGATTAAGAAAATGGCCAAGATGAGGCAGGTGATAAAACTCTTTCCTATCAACAAACCTGCAAATCACCCACCACACACTGAAACAGAGGACAGAAAGAATACAACTTGGGTCTAACTTGTGTGTTTTCACTTTCAAAGTCCCTGTTAGCAGAAATTCTAATAAATATATTTAAATATAAATCTTTGACAATTACATTTAAATCTTACTTTTATCTTTCGCAAACTACATTGCAAGGCCAGAACATGATTAGAATTGGAACTGGAATTCCACTATTAACACGAACCTGTGATTTGTGAAAACCACAATGTTTGAACTGGAGCCAAAGATTTGTACTTGTACCTCTTCCCAGACAGTGACTAGTTTCGTAACTGTGACTATGGGTGTGTGATTTATGAAACCTTAACATCGTCTAAACTTACATATGTGGTTTGTGTGCAGTCAGGGTTCAGATCAAGGTTACCACATACAACGCGAGTTACTGCATCTACGGCTGCCCTTCGTATGATATTGGAAATGAAGGGAGTTTTTGCCATCTCACCTCCAGACACTGGGGCATCCATAAAAACAGCTCCCACTTTTTCTGCAGCAACTGCCATCTCCTTGGAGACAGCTGGATCAATAGTGCTGGAATCAATGAGTAGGGATCCCTTCTTCACTTTCCTATTGAAGAAAGATTTTAGAATTCAAGACCTGTCTGGTAAAGAGCACGTGTCATTTCTTTGAATTATGAAAAAAAGTTTCTCACCACAATCATTTCCACTAAAATTCCATTTAATCTGGATATTAAAGGGCCCAATGAAATCAGTTTAACAATTTTTTAAACTAAAAATCGCCGGCTTCCGGCAACGACTGATGTAGGACGTATGATGTAGGCGTGGTAGTTAGAAAACAAAACGCCAGTCACAAATTTAAAGTCTAATATGTTTTAAAGAAATGTCAGAGGATTTCAATAAATGAAAAGAGGAGCTATGTCAGTGTTACTCATTGCTCAGCTCATTTGTGGCTCACATGGCAGTGATATGATGATGCGAAAGTGACGCGATATGTGAACGGCCCCCTACTCAGCGTCTGTGAAGTGGAGCAGGACAACATCCCACCAGTTCTCATTTCAGATTCTCATCCACAGATGATGTTTTGGACATGGGGAAGGGCATTTTTACTGTGTGATAAATAGAAGCATCACGGCACAATGATTCATATGCTCATTGACTCCAAATTATTATGTCTATCCTTTAAAACAAATAAAGATCCAATCTAGGAGAATGGTTATAAGTGGAAACAGCGGAAAACTTTGTATAGGCGGTTTGTTCAGTGTCAACTTTTCCACTGGTACTCAAAATGATGCCAGTGATTATAGTTTATGTATAGTATATAGTTTAAAATATGACAATTTTTCTTTAAAAAAAAAACACCACCAAAAGCTGGGAAGAACCAGGATTTTATTTAAATTATTGGATTTAAAATTTTTGGGTTAACTCTTCCTTTAAGTTTGGCTTAATACATGTTGGATTTGCCTTTTTTTAAACTCGGGAATTAAGTCAGTTTCCTAATTAAAATCATGTTCAAATGTTGATTATTTAGCCTGTACAGAAAGGATGTTCTTACTTCAGAATACCATTTGCGCCTGTATACACCTCTACAACATTGGGGCTGGAGGGAAGCATTGTGATGATACGATCTGCCTTGTCCGCCACATCCGCAGGGTTATCCAGGATCTGAGAAGAGGGCATTAACAGTCAGAGAGGCTCATCCAAAGTAAAAACTAAGATGTAATCAATCATATAAAGCATATACATCATGGTGTTTAACTAAAGTCAGATGTGACCAAGTTACGTTTTATGTCAGTTATCCTGACCTGAGCTCCAAGCTCCTGTAACTCTTTGCAGGACTCTGGAAATACATCTGAGGCTATCACTGGATATCCATGTTTTATGAGGTTCTTTGCCATTGGGTTTCCCATGTTCCCCAGGCCAATGAAGCCCACCTGGGTTTTAGAGGCCATGGACCTGATGGAGACTAAGAAGAGACATGAATTATCTATTTAGTGTCAAATTTAGAATATCACATGGGATATTTTTGCATTTAACATTTGAATTGTTAAATGCAAATGAATAAAATCAAAATAAGATGTGCAAATTCTGCATGGTGATCAAGAGACATATCAACATTTGTAAGATTTTATGTTAAACATGACCTGTTTAATTTATAAAACAAAAATAAAGAATTAATCAATTAATACAGATCCAAAAACTCAATCAAATAACTTGAATCTTTAGTGTGTTTTGTTCCTAAACAATTTGCAATCTGTTTAGATGAACTTGATTTATTGACATATTACATCTCACTCCCACATTTATCGGAAAAGACTTCTTAGCAAATGCTTTAATTTGACAGCTGTCCATAATTTAGTTCAATGGTGGCAGATTCTGGTGACAATTAGTAAAATTGTCTAACGTGTACTTGTGTTTCATCATTGACATACACACACGCGTGTGACTTTAGCCTAACAGCTATCGAGCGCTCCCACTGCATTACATTATATCAGATGTTGCTGCACGGAAAATACGCATGGGAATCCACAGCAGCAGAAAAATAATAATACAATTTTAAGATCACATTACCCAGCACGGCGCTGACATGGTTATGACACTTTCCTACTAGACACCTCGAACCCCTCAACAGAGCGGCCATGCTGCTTCGCTCTTGACCTTCGACTTAGAGTGACGCGATTGGATAATCGTTGATTGACACATACGCCTCCATACGTTTTATTCAGCTCGGATCTCTTCATCCAATGGCATTCAAGGGAAGGCGGGACATCCTCAAAATCTCATAATACATTTATTGAGAACATAAATAAATAACTTGTAACTGCCTTTGTTTGGTCTGTTATTAAATTAATCTCCATTGCTATTTGTATTTAATAAAACGGTTTTTAATGCTTTTCTGTAATTTAATTGTACGTGCAAACAGAAAGATATACGGCGTTACATTTGTCTCTTTTTCCACTACTCACTCTTTTGACATAACTCGTACGAAATTTAATTTATCTATAAAATAAAACGGGAATATAACTGAATATGTTAAGGTTAGTTGATAAATCTAAACAATGTTTACATCCGGCTTTAAGGAATGTCAAGAAATGATTCGCAAATAATTAACGTAAACATTTTGGCTGAGAAACTACCCCATAAAAGATTATATTATGTATTATGTATTATTATTATATAATATATATATATTGAGTAACGTTACATGTTGACGGTCATGTTAACTAGCCTATAATAAGATATTGCCAAATGTTAATTTATTAGTGACATATTAGCCTCACTGAAGTTATAACTAAAGAACCTCAATAATTATAGTTTTGCTGTTTTTGTTATTTGTAAATATGAAAACATAAACATTTGTACTAACAGTGGTTATCGCAAAATAACTGAAGCACGCGCAACTAAATGCTTTATCTTCACTTACACAAAAAAAAAAAACATAAATCATTTTTCTACTGGTAGTTTCATACATTAGTCATAGCCTAGTGATGATCGAAGATATGTGTGTGGTGTTGTTGTTATCGTGTTGTTCCGGGAAACCACTGACACGGACAGACGGGGGATGTACTTGCGCTGAGACTGGAAAGTGCGTCAAACAAACACAGCGCTGGGCTTTTTTGTGACACTTCAGCAGCAATATAATGAGGTATTGTACAGTCTTTTTATTTACTTATATTATAGCTCTGTATGAATATTAGTCTTTTCTATCTTCTATGATTTTATTTGACTAACTTGTAATATAATTTTGAGCTCTGTTTTGGTGAAAAACAGAACATGATACGGGATATTCCTTAACTATCGGCCTCACACTTTGCCTCGACTTAAGATATTAACTGATCTATTTTTATAGAGAAATAAAGAGTAAATAAGATGTTGGTTTTGGATGATTGAACAGTTATTAAATGCCAAAAGCTAATGAGCTGTAATAGTCTTGACATTATGGGTTTGTTATTGTTTAGCCAGACGGCTAAATCCAGCTAGCAAGCTACATCGCTAATACTTGCTTAGCTAATATAGAAACTTGAAGACTATATTTGGTGTAAATAAATATACATAGAAAATATATTCTGTGCGGAATATCGTTTATTGAATTAATAAATCTTTCTCGTTACAACATGATAAACACTAAAATTAAGTTGCTAGTGCCCGTGCTAGTCATTTCGGCCTAATAGAAACACTTTAATGTCTAAAAACGGTAGTTTTGAGGTATATAGTTTTTTTGACAGTCATTTAAACGTACAACTAATTAATTGGTTGCTATATTATCCAATGCCATACTTTTGTTTGTGTTGTGGCAATAATCTGTTGTGACGACCTTTGGATTACCAGGCAAATTAATTTCACGGAAGTTATAACTAAATTGCCGCAATAAATGTAAGTTAGTTTTGTTGTAACAGGGCTAACATTGTGTAAACATGAAAACGTGAAGCGTTTTACAGTTCAAGTTAGTAAACGCGTCACATGTGACGTATGTCGTGTGAAAAAATGACCGATTTTTTTTTCCTCAGCTGTATTTGAAAGCGAGTCTCTGTAGTGTCAGCAAATACATGCTCTGCTGCTCCACTTACAGCTCTCTTATCATACATATGACGTTGATTCTTTCTTAAATAATAAAAAAAAATATTTAACAGTTTATTGAAGTATATGAAAATTAGGTTTTTATGTACATCACGTTTACAGTTATTTTTCACCTAATGCCTACAAACTAGTCAGGTTAGCCAGCACTATACACACGTTCTCTGCCACTGAGATATTATTTAGGAATCACCATGATTACAAAACAAATGACTCTATCTTATCAGTGTGGTTAGTGTTGACTGTTCACAAGCATACAGAAAAAAACCCTTGACAATCATCAGACTTTGTTCTTTCTTTACTGAGTCATCATCATCTCCATATGAGCGTGAGACATAGCAAACATGTCAGTCAATTGTGGTAATGTGATGTAGATGTGGTAATAACTCTATAATAATTTTATCCTGTTACCTTAGTTACAATAAATTCAGTTTGCATTAATAAATTATTATATTAATATGCTTTAGGGTTTGCCCCTAAAAATTATGGGAGAAAAATGATCCCATAATTTATTCACTCTCAAGCCATCCTGGGTGTATATGACTTTCTTCTTTCAGCCAAACACAACCAGAGTTATATTTAAAAATATCCTGGTCCTGGCTCTTCCAAGCTTTATATAATCATATGGTTTCAGGGGGTTAATAAATGCCTTCTGAAGCGAAGCCATGCGCTTTTGAAAAATGATCCATGTTTATAAACTATAATCATTGGCTTCCGGTAATGGCCGTATGCAAGTCGAGGTCCGGCGGAAGAGTGACCTCTGACCTGAAGCATGACATAAGATGTAGGCGTAGTGTAAGCTTAGGTGAGAGTAGACACCTCTCTCACTGTTTAAACAAATAGGGCTGGGCAATAAACTTAAGCTCCTCTTCTCTTATTTCAAAATCCTCTGACATTTCTCTCATTTTAGACTTCTAATTTATATCCAGTGTTTTGTATTGCTCTATCCTCTGCTCTTTCCGCATTCATCAATACATCATACATCAGGTCAGAGCGAGGTCACTCTTCTGCCGGAACTAGACTCGTGTACGGCTGTTACCGGAAGCCAGTAATAGTTCACAAATTTAGTTATGCATATTTTGTCTTACAAAATGCATTGCTTTACTTCAGTAGGCCTTTATTAACCCCCTGGAGCCATATGGATTACTTTTATGATGGATGGATGTGCTTTTTTTGGGGGCTTAAAAATTTAGGGTACCATTCACTTATAAAGCTTGAAAGAGCCAGGATATTATTTAATATATCTCCGATTGTTTTTGGTTGAAAGAAGAAAGGATGGCTTGAGGGTGAATATTTTTGGGTGAACTAACCCTTTAAAGAGTCTTCATTAAAATTATCTTGAACTTTGAGGGAGCTGAGAAATATGGAGTAGCTGAGTGCCCCTTGATTTAAGATCAAATTGACTTGTGTCCTTAAGGGTTCAAACCACATTCCTGTAAACATTTTCCAAGTTCCAAAAGAAAGTTTGCACTTATTGATCTATAGTAGTGAGTAACTTAATACTGTATATTACAAATTCTTGAGACACAGGACAGAAGTTATCCCATAACTTAAAATAGTAACATTTCCACTCTGACATCGCTCACTTATGAACCACCTGTCCTCACACCATATGGATACAAATATAACACACACACACACACACACACACACACACACACACACACACATACACACATATATATACTGCCGTTCAAAAGTTTGGGATTGCTAAGATTTAAAAAACAAACTAAACAAAATTTTGTGAAATATATAACACTTTAAAATAACTTTCTATTTGAATATATTATAAAATGTTTTTAATCCTATGATCAAAGCTGAATTTTTGCATCATTAGTGTTTCAGTGTCACATGATCCTCCAGAAATCATTCAAATATGATGATTTGCTGCTCAAGAAACATGCATTATTATTATCAATCTTGAAAACAGTTTAACCTGGATTCTTTGATCGAATAGAAAGTTCAAAAGAACAGCATTTATTTGAAATATTATAAATCTTTGTTCACAGGGAGCCGCTTCACAAACAGAGCGTGCCAGTGACAGTTATTTTTTGCGTCTTATTGCCCTTGAATGGTTTAATAGCAATTGAATGAGTGATAACGTGTTCATATAGACCATTTTGCAAGATGTAAACAACACTGGTCCAGAAACACTTCCTGTTTCAGTTTGTAATGTTTTCTTTATTTCACATGTAAAGAAAACATCTTAAAGATATTTGTTTAACTTTTTGATTTAGTTTTATATGTTCTGTTGGTTGTATTTTATCCCAGCTTTTATGTAGTGTTAAAAGATTGAAACAGGAAGTGCTTCTGGACCAGTGTTGTTTACATCTTGCAAAATGGTCTATAGCCTACTGTAGCACACCCACAGGATGAAAAAAAAAAACAACAACTAATTTTCATAGATTAGCCTGTGTTTTACGTAAATATTGGAACACGAGTGAAGAACAAAGCCTTATTTACATAATAATAGTTTAGCAACCAAATGTTTGATTGCGGATATGGATTTGGATTTGTGCTGAATGAGAGAGTTAGCCTATGCTAGCCCAATGCCATTTTAGTTTTGCTTTTAATAAATTAATTTTGGCTTGATGCAGATAATGAATTCCACTATATTCCACTATATTTTATAACTGAATTGCTGCTTATTTTTTCTTCTTCTTCTGTTCTGAATAGCATACTGATACATTTAAATTTAAAGGATTTGTTGAGTGAGGGGAACAAAAATAGCCCAGGCTATATTTGTAAATGTTTAGATTTTTTTTTTTTTACAGTTTTTTTTTTAATATTCATATAAATTGATTTAATTGTTTATAATTAGGTTAACGGGTGTATTTGGTGTAAGATCAATGTCTCTTTCATAAGATTATTATTTCTTATTGGATGGGTTATGTTTCTCCGTTTCGTAAACTATAGGGGCAAGTCTTCTAAACCGTGAATTTTTAGGGGAATGATATTTATGTAGGTCGTTTTGAGCCGCCACATTTATCAATGTGCGATCATTCATACGATGGGATCGGCAGCGTAAAAATGTTTAATGAATCACACGTTAACCCTGACTTCAGATGATTTTTGCACTTGTTTCTACGTTATATGGATAATGAG